TTTTCTTACTCCTCAATAATCTTCCAGAACATAGAATTACAATATTCAAGATCAGGTTGGGCGAGGTATTGGGAATGGAAAGATAGTTCGGCGGCTGCTGAAATTAGGTCCGAGAGCAGCCTCCCCATAATGATAGATTGAAGCGAGGAATTATTGTCTTGAAGTATCTCTCGCAATGACTTGAGTATATAAAGAAGGAAGGCCTCCGTTCGGGGAGATGTTCTTTCTTCCGACCCATCTTGCCTAGCAACTACGCCCGTCGGGAGGCTAGAGATTACTCTCTTTTCTAGGGGAATTCCAGCACCCGCAGACAGCGACGGATATATTCCCTCTAGAGAGATAAAGTCAAGAAGAGCATGAAGAATCCTCCTCCGTTTTGCATCTTCAAGGCCAGTGGTATGGTCATCCAAAAAATTTAGTGTCTGGCCTAATTGGATGAATGATTGGTGGATGTCTGTCAATAGGTCGAGGCTTCGCCGTATTACCCTTTCTCTAGGGGACCTGCTGATTTCATAACTTTCAGGTAAACTTTTTATTAAAGAATCTACTAGTGAAAGACCCCGGTTCTTCTGGATTTGCTCTTTTAAATTTATTAGCTGCATTGTTTGATAAATGAGTTAGGTGATCAATCAAGATAGGCGTGCCTCTTGTCAAAACCGGTCGCAAAAACGAAGCAACAGCTTCGAAAGCTGCTTCAATACCCGTAGGATCTCCCATTTATTCACATGCTGTAGACTTCTCTCCGGGGCATGGTTTGATATCCTTGTCTTGTCGCATGTTGGTCAACTAAAGTGAGAGAAATGAGAAAGATAGGAGTAGCAGCTAAGCGCTCACGTGCCATTGACGCCACCCCCAACTTAGTTAGTAAATATCACGTGATGTCGCGTTTGTTCAAACGCGCCAAATAATATCTTTGTTTACACGTCGAGGTTCGTTTGGCAACCGTCAACCAACATCAAAGCTCTGTTGCTTGGATATACCACGAGTGACTCTCGGCCTTCTAACAGCCATTCCCTCGCATTTGAGAGCAATCGCCTCCTCACTGGACCGTTATGTTCGTCTTCTATATTGTTTCTCCAATGAACCAAGCCGCCTGCTCTCACATCTCTGTTTCCGTCATATTTTACCAGTTCAACCTCCTCATAGTTTACCAATCTACGTCTGCAGCTGCTTTTGGATCTAAGGCGTGGCAATGTTGTATTTCCATCCATTTCCGATAGTTGGTGTGGGCGTGTTTGGGACTTAACCCTATGGTAAAAACCGGGCGTCGTTCCTGGAGCGTCCAGACTATCGACAAAAGTTCGCGGCTATAGCAACCAGACTTTCGAATGTATCGCTTGCATTTTTGCCGGTGGTATAAAACGATCCTGGCATCCGGAGCTTCCCATGAAGCGTTTAAAAGACGGTTTACTATGCGTTTAATTCCTTGTTGGAGTACGCGTCAGTTTATCTTAGCTGGATATGAATGGAGGATAATAAGATCACCGGTTTGATACCTGCAAATTCCACGGCCGAATGGGAGAAGAGAGGCAGGGTGCATCGGGCAATCATTGAAAAGTGGATTGTCTTCGGGACCCAACACGTCAGGACACGAAAAGAGATTCTTCAAATGATCCTTGGACTCTTGTTGTACTGCCCATCCCGTTTGTTGGCTTAACAAAGATCTTTCTAGAGCCAAGCAGATACTTTATTCTCAAGTTCGCCTACATACGATTATTCGCACTGGATTTTTGGGCTATCGTATGCCAGAATCAGCTGGGCTGCTCACGCGCGCAGTCAAGTCGTAGCATAGATAACCCATTCATCCATCTTGTGATAAATCATTTTAACATGGCCTGCCTAGGCTTACCAGGGTATCTTTGTTTCTAACATGGGAAGGACGGCAATTCCAGTCAAGGATTTGGGGCACTGGGGGTTATAAATTTGATGCATACTTTCCGTTGAGACTGATTGGCCGTCCCGCATGTACCCCCACATCCAAACCCTTCGGTGTTTGTCACCTCTCTTCCAACCTGTTCCCATGGATCACACAGCCCTAGTGGCAGAAGCTCGTTCACCGGTTTTGCACCACGGCACCCGCCAATGTGTGCGTGCTATTGGATCTCTCCACCGCGTTAATCTTATTTTCTCGTGGGTATAGCCCATTGGATTAAAGAACGCCGGTTACCGTATCTGGGAGTTCTCTTCTAGATGCCCATTTCCCACTAGGGAAGTGAATCGATTTTTACAGATGTTTTGTTCGATTCTTCGTTCTCGCCTTCATCACTCAGTGTATGCAGGAGAGGAAACAAAACTTGTCTCTGAGGGCACTGTGTTACACTCACGGAACACAGAATTTGGGAAGCACAGTTTAATCTACCCAACTAGATTTTAGGAGATGAGAAGTCCGCATTGGTTTCAGTGGGCGAAAGTATGATGAGAGGCTCAAGCTTTAGAGGGCTAGTTGCTTAAGTGGGCTCCTTGGTAGCATGCTAGATGGTGGAGCTATGTGGGCAGTGGATTTTATTCAACTTGAAGCTTTGTCTAGGGCTATGGGCAAGTCGCAGCGCTTCCTCCCATTACTGTCTTGCTTTCTGTTTCATCAATACCCTAAGAGGGAGGGATTTATACTTGGATAAAACAACCCTGTATGTGAGAGTTTCTCGGAACTGCGCTTCACACCTGACGACCCAGGAAAGCGCCATATACAGGATATGTTGGAACGATGCAATTGACGGATCGTTTAAAGAGGACCATTGATGGCGGGGAGTTCATGCACAGAGAGGGACCTCTCTCGAGTGAGGATCAAAGCCTTGGCTTGTCTAATCTGATGCATGCCCAGCTTGAAATGTTTCGAATTTTGACTGTCTGGCTTAGTGCAACTATCCCAATGGTGCTTGGATTCGAAAGACGGAGTGGCCACGGGAAGACTTGGTGAAACATTATGGTGTTGGCTTGTCCTGAGGGTCATGCGATGAACAGAGGATATTCACAGTCTTGGGGGGGGGAGTAATAGACTTCTTTTACAGTCGACATTGCTAGTTGAGTAGGCCTCCGCCTCTCCTTCGTTTGGGGGGGCAGAGGCCAATATATTTTTTTTTATAAGTCTCCCCATCCCCGTCGTTGTGATTCTACAGCTAACTATCCTACCAGATTGTCTCTGTTTCCTAGGGTTACGGTCTAGCGGTCCAGCAACACCCCAGTTCTCCCATTCAACGGAGTACAAAGGGCTGGCCGGGCTCAATTAAAAGGCACACCAAATACTCCTCCATATGCATGGCACTCTACACCAATGTCATACACGAAATCTTCGAGACGAACCACACTGCTCTTCCAAGTCACACAATATTAATATCGATGCAAAACTTAAATTGCGGGACATCCTTTTCCACTCCATCGAGATGTGTTGCCGCAGTTTCCGAACTGCAGTACATCGTGCCTTCCTGTTTACAAACACTTTTGACTGCTGATTTGTTATTGTTATTGTCGTTGCCATCGATCGCTCTTTCCCTTGCCATGTTTCCAATATCCAAATATAAAGCACCTGCTTTTCCATCCTCTCCATGTCTGCGGAGGTTCCTTAGATACGCTTCTGTCGCATGAAAGGAAGCTATATATCATTTTTCTGCCCCGCTGTTGAGTAGTTCTGAGAACTTCATCCTTGACTTGTATTGTTATGCATGGTCAGCCATGCATTACTTACGCTATCTTATTTCATTTGTCCTCTTTGTCGTTGTTAACGGCGACAAAAACCACGATGGCCAACCAACCCGGCTTCCTATGCCTCCTGTGCTGAGACCTCCGTTTCCTCTCGGTCCAACGCCCCATCCTTTCCCCGCTCCAGGAGGGTTTTCTACGAGTAATAATGCTGAGCAGGACGACCAAGGGGGCCCCCTCGCAGCCTGTGGGCCTTATGCCGGGTCCTGCCCAGAGGGCCTCTGCTGTTCTTCTTCAGGTACGTAGTATTTATAGCGGCTCTGTAATATTGTTATGTTGATATTCCCGTCTAATTTGCGACTGTATAGGGTACTGTGGAAAGGGACCCATGTATTGCGCTGCTCCAGACTGTATGCTTGAGTATAGCAGTGGCTGCGATGCCCACAAGACACCGAGCGGAGAAGATACATCTGGTGTACCCCGCGATAAGGTTGGAGATGTTTCCTATGGCGAGGCAGCTATTTACGACTGTACCGTTCCAAACACCATTGCATTGACATATGACGACGGGCCATATATCTATACCAGAGACCTGCTTGACATTCTTGACTCGTTTAACGTAAAGGCGACTTTTTTTATTACTGGAATCAACTCAAACAAAGGTTCAATTGATGACCCTAATTACCCCTGGGCCGATTTGATTCGTCGGATGTATAACAGCGGCCATCAAATCGCCAGCCATACTTGGTCTCATCAGAACCTTGATCAGGTCTCAGCTTCTCAAAGAAAGCAGCAGATGGTAAAAAATGAAATGGCCTTCCGAAATATTATGGGTGGCTTTCCAACGTACATGCGACCACCGTATTCGAGCTGCTCAGTTGCGTCTGGATGTTTGAGAGACATGGGCGACCTAGGTTATCACGTCACGTACTTCAACCTTGATACTGACGATTACAACAATGATTCTCCGGACATGATTCAGCACTCAAAGGACATATTTGACTCCTACATAGCACAAGACGGCCGCTCTCTACTTGAAATTGGCCATGATGTCCACCAACAGACAGTTTATAACCTGACAGGCTATATGCTTCGTCGCCTTGAAGGTAGTGGCTATCGTACAGTCACGGTTGGAGAATGCCTCGGGGATCCCCCAGCCAACTGGTATCGATGGACTTCTGCCCCTGGTGACCAAAGCCGTGGAGACAATCCACCAAAGGGTGGAAAAAAATTCAAGCCAGTGAAGCCTCCATCTCCTGACGGAACTTGTGGAACAAGTTACACTTGCACTGGTTCCGGGTTCGGTCGCTGCTGCAGTGCCTCGGGTTTCTGCGGAAACAGAGCTCTTCACTGCGGAAAAGGCTGCCAGAAGATCGGCGGCATTTGCTCTGAGGATCCTTCAGACTCCAAACACACCCAATTCGGCAAAGGAAACAAAAAGGGGTCGAAAAAGATTGATCATTCTCCCACGCACAGCATCAGCAAGGAAGCTGAAGATGATGAAGACAAGCTGGGGAAGATGGAAAACAACGAGAAAGCTAAGGAAGGGAATGGAGGAAAGGATCAAATCGAGGACACAGATGGACATGACGATGGTCAGAACACTAACACGGAACACCATTCAGGCAATGAAAAGGGTCATGAAGAATAATCCCAAGCAAGAAGAGACAACTCCATTTTTTCATTTTTTCATTTTTTTTTTTTTCTTTTTTTTCTTTGGGTTTCTGCTAGGAGGGTTTATTTCCAGCGGTCTTTATGAAGACCTCTTTCCGTTATCTTTGTTTCCTTTGCTGACGTTCAGGGCTGAAATAGTGCATTTTTATTTTTAGCTAAGAGCACTATGAATGCAATAGATTGTACCTTAATTATCAAGCGTACGTAGGGAAAGGCACTAACAGTCGCGCAATATTTTATGGTTTACTGCAGAGTAGTACATTTCTTGTGGCTCAATGCATAAAAACAGCAAGAACAAGAAATACAACAGGTGACAGAAGGCGGCTAACCACTGTTGAGGAGATAATTTTGCTATTTATGTATCTAAAATGCAAATGGGTATCAATATAATATTTGCAACAACGTGAATTATGGAGAGCAATAGATGACACAAAGCGACATTACTTCCTGACCACTTTGAGCAAAGGTGCAATCCTTGCTTTCCGACTCAGCCCAACACGATAGGCAACCTTGGCGGTAACAGCAATAGGACTGTGTTTATCTGGCCCCTTGACAGCCGGCTTCTTTGGGGTCTCAGCAGGAGGGGTGGGTTCAATTCTCTTGTCAACGGAACTTTCGGAGTTTTCGGCGGATGGATGAAGGTTGTGATTGTCCGCCTTGGGTTCAGGGGTTTGTTGCTTGACAATCGCTGGAGATGAAAGTGGTGGTGGGGGTGCAGAAGAAATATTATTATCATGACGGTTTTCAACGGAAATGTCTGGAATTATTGTTTCGACTGGCCGCGACAGTGATTTCTGGATAGGAATATCTTCCTGATCTGTTTCCTTCCTCTTCCTTCCTCGCTTCTTCGGCACCGGGCCGACTTGTCTGCTTTTATCATCAATGTTTGTGGGAACTTGAACTTGAACCTCGATTTTCGGAGGTGGCTTAGCAACTGACTCAGCCTCGTGGGCTAGGGAATTGGGGGTGAACAGGTCATCGTTATCATTAAGATCGAGGATATCATCAGATGCGTCTGTATCATCTATAATGGCGGACCTAGATTCCTTCTCATCTATCCAGATCACATCATCTTCGACTTCGGACTCAACCGTCTTCCGCACGACAGCCGATGTAGTCTTTCCTCTCTTCACTTTCTTTTTCTGGTTTTTCTTCGTTCGTTTTAGAGGCCGCTTCACGGGTTCAACTATACCGACTTTCTGCTGGTGCGATGGAGAAACCCCGTCTGGCGAGGAGTCTGCAGGTTCGATGGAATTTATATTCTCATCCCCTTGAATTATATCATCTTGAATTCGGGGGGCTTCTTCAACATCAATCGCAGGATCAGGTCCATTATCAAATCGAAGTACATTTTGGTCTTTGGAATGGATGTTCTCACAGTTTCGAGGGGCTTCTTCGATAGTGGATATCGGATCGACATCCTGCTCCGGGCCCTCCAGAACGGTGTCTAATTCGTGATGTTCTTCTGATATGGTTTCGATGGTACTGTGGAATTGATGGCCCGTTGGTGTCTGGTTCGGTTGGTCATCTGGGACTTCCCACAGACTCCCAGTGTCCACGTAGCTTGATGGGGCAGCTGTGGTGATTGACCTACGGTTTGTGACAGGTGATCGGCGCAGCGACGGGTATCTTGGGACGGCAACTTCAAACGGGAATGGAAGTGCAAGTTCATCCATACTATGAGCCGAGGACTGAGGTATATATGGCTCGGGTGCAGTCAACGTCCGCCGCACTCTACTGAGGGTCGTTGATGACATCGGGAGCGTGTCGCGTGAAGATGTTGGTTCCATGTTGTCATAAATTTGCAAAGAGGGGTATATTCTCTATAGCTATTAAATATAATGTATTATTGCCTCACAGGGTCCGTGATTGGTAGATATCCATTGCTCGCAAGTCATTCGACAATATCATCATCATTTAGAATGTCCGTCGTCGTCTCTTGATGTTCGCTTCTTAGCCGCGCACGCGCTGTCACGTGACTCATCTCGATCTTCTCCTCGATTCATTCAGGACAACAACACCGACATGGACATATCATAGTGAGAGAACGAAATAACTAACCTACAAGCCGAAGTGTAGAGATGTGCTGAGGCCATAGCTAAAGATTTGAAGAAGCCGAAAAGATCTGCCCGTCGGTCCTCTATGTCGAGGGAAAACAAGACGATGTATAGTCACTTCTCAGTAAATTCATCAAAGTCGTCCAAACTGGCAAGGGAGGTTGATTGATCACCGGGGCTGGCTATTCGATTTGAATGCTGCTGCAGCTTTATAACTGACACTGGCCCCTATATAACGTTGAAACTGCGCTACTCCTATAGTTAGCTGCCATGGATCGAAAGGTCGCCGAGGACAAGATTGGGCCTGGAGTGGAGCTCTGTGATCCCATCCGACTACAACTCCGGAGAGCTGCGGCAGACAATGAATGGTCTCGCCGCAGAACATGCAAGACTTGTGCAACGTCATCTCACCGCTGAGATCGGGCGACAAACGCGGAATTCAAACAGCAAAGGCTATAATTGCTACGCCCTACCTTGAAGATGCTTTCTTCAGAGGTTGTTTATCTTTTCCTCTTGTTCGATACCCAGCTTCTTTCAATTGCTGAGGACAACCACCTAATACCTAGAACATCAAAACGTATATTATATATATTATATATACGGCAACATGCCCCCCCTGAAGGTTCTTATTTGCGGCGGTGGTTGTGCTGGGCCTGCCTTGGCTTACTTACTTGCGTCCTGTGGGCATAAAGTGACAATCGTCGAGCGTTTCCATGCCCTCAGAGCCTCGGGTGCGCAAATTGATCTTCGAGCCCAAGGGATTGAAGTAGTGAGGCGCATGGGGCTTCTTGGGGCCGTTCGCAGCCGATCTGTTGACGAGATAGGCGTCTCTTTTGTCAATTCTCAGGATAGAGTACAAGGGACTATTCTTGCTAATAAGACTGGTAAAGGTGCACAGTCCTTAACCTCCGATTATGAAATTATGCGTGGAGACATGGTTCGATTACTATACGATGCAACGAAAGAGGATGTGGAATATATGTTTGGAATAACTGTTGAAAGTTTCGAGCAGGACGAAAATACGGTTTCAGTCCAGTTCTCCGACGGCTCTACTGACACCTTTGATCTTGTAGTTGGAGCCGATGGTCAGGGGTCACGTATTCGAAAAGCCATTCTACCGCCAGGTGCCCCGGACCCTTACTGGAGGATAGGTGCCATGTTGGCTTACTGGTTTATACCCCATGCCGAGTCAGACACCAACATCAGTGTTGCTTATCACAGCTCGGGCGGCCGCGTACTATTTCGCAGACGCTATACTTCTACAGACTCGCAGGCCTACATTGTACTCCGTGACAGCTCAGAGGACATACGATGCATTCCCAAGGCACCAATGGAACAACAGAAACAATTCCTCTCCCAGAGGTTTCATGATGCAGGCTGGCAGGCAGATCGGTTTCTCAAAGGCTTGGAGACAACAAAGTCTTTCTACTGCGAGGAGGCCCTTCAAGTCCGCACTGATACATGGCATAAAGGCCGGGTTGTTCTGGTGGGAGATGCTGGATATTGTCCATCCCCATTCACCGGTTTAGGTACTACTGTTGCACTTGTTGGTGCCTACGTTTTGGCTGGAGAGATCAACCAAAATACCGATAACTTACCTAAGGCCCTTGCAAACTACGACAAGAAATTGCGCCCTTTCGTCGATAATGTTCAGGAATTAAACCGGAGCCTTATGCCTTATTACTTACCACACAGTCAATGGGGAGTTACCGTTTTCCATTTTCTTGTCTGGTTAATATGCATACTTCGGATCCCTGAGCTCATGACACGTTTTTCAAAACCGGATGTTCACGACTGGGTCTTACCATATTATCCTGAGCTGGACAAAGAACGGAATCACAAACTAAAAGAGAAAATAGTGTAGAGAATTCCCTGTCATGGCTCCGAATCAATATCCCTCCAATGGCTTTTCCTCCGATAATATTGGTTTATTCGACCGCTTTGTACCAATAGAATGCAGGTCTAGTTGCAGAGTGAGGAAATGACGCCAGAATCGCAGACACTAAAAATATTTCAGTCTATAAGGTATCTAAGTCCATTCAATTCACGAGATGAAAAAAGAGTTAGAGTCAATCACTACTACAACATACCTATACATTCATTATCGCATTGGAAAGTCGTGTTAAAAAGGCGATGGTAGCTTGAGTTTGTTAGCGGTTCTTGCTTTAAGGATGAAATGATTTTAGTGATGTAGTTCTCCGCTGGAAACTAGTCCGGGTATCGGGATGGGTTCGTGTCAGGTAACTACGACTACTGATGTTAAGAGAATTGCACAGAAATAACAAAACGATACATATTGCTAGGCATTTTGAAACTGGCCACCTGCATCGGAAAAGACGGATTCTGCACTGTGGGTTTATAAGAAAATGTTCTAGCAGTTGTTTTATAGCTAATGATCTATCATTGCAGACCGGTGATATCACACAAACTTATGGTCACACATTATCGGCAATATCTAGACACCAGCTCGGATCAGCATTCGCTGTTGCCTCTGTTGCCGCTTCAGCTGTTGGTCGTCGGGATAGAATCGGCAAAGCTCATCCAGACGAGCCATAGCGATCTGTGCATCGAGAGCCGCTGGGTATTCAATAGCCAGGCGCCCGCGTTTGTCATTCCAATGTATCCCGTGTGCATCAGTATGGTGCGTCACAGTAGGGTCGTTGCTTCGGACGACGTGATAGCATTTTAGGGCGCATTTTATTTGCCGTTTCTCTCGGGGAAGGTTGAGTATAAGCCAGCCTCCCAAAGTCCCAGCTGAGTCTTCGCTCCCTTTCACACCGATTGAGCTCCCATTTACTGGATGCTCTGGTAGCTCTTCTGGGGCAATGCGCATTCGCCTCAAAATGGACCCTGGATTTGTAGATACTAGCTTTCCTGGCAGAATCTCTAGGAACACTGAGATATCTAACTTGTTCAAGATGTTAAGAATCTTCTCCTCGACAGCTGCAAAGTCACACACTGAGTGAGGGTGACAGAAGATAATAACTGTGGGTTTCCTTGGTGCGTTAAAATCGTTTCGTCGGCATCGCATATGGAATGCAATGGATGGCCTTAGGTCATTCATAGAGGTCCCAACCTCTTCCACAATTCTACTTTTGACTTGCTTCAGGGGCCCAACAATAGACGGGTCATTGGGTAGAGCACTAGAAACATCATCATACATTCTGTCGGTGTTGACCAACAATATTTGTATCGGCTGTGAATCTGGGATATTCTCTTTGACTAAACCAAGCACTTCATTAACCGAGTCATGCCACGCTCTGCTTGGTCTCTCATCCCGCGTTAAAATTTCTATAACATCTCTAGTTTCGTAGACCTCGTCTAACGGTTGAAGACGATGGAATCTCTCTCCGACGAAGGAGATTTTATGCCTAGCTAATATGGCTGGAATTTGTGGTGAAATAAGGCTGTCATATGCGTCCATCACCTTAACACTTACTGGAAGCGATTTCGAGCGCCAAAGAAGGGGTATCTGGCCATCAGCAGAGACTCTAAACTTGTCTTTGCTGGCTATCCAGCTCTCTATTGAGATCTGAGAGCCTATCGATGACACTAAAAGTCCATCAGTTGAGGTATTATATATTAGACGCAGACAAATACTTACCGCTACCGTACCCAGAATACTCGGGTCTGCGTGACACACCGACCATTTTGTCGAACGGATGACTGGCTATAACGCCGATTTGCGGGTGCAAGAGTGTCTAGTCCATGGATAGAGAAACGAAAGACTTTAATATTTTTTGCAGGATTGTAAGTCCCGAAAAGGTGCCAATGATATGCCACTTAGGGGTCTCCCCTTTTTGGCCCAGCAGTGTGATAAAAGGATGGTTGTCTACGCTCAGTGGAAACGCGGATTAGCACGCCCTTTTTATTTTGAGAGGCTGTCATTAAAGCCATATTGTTTGCTCTAACACAATAAATAGAACAATGGTAGCGTTGTCTTCAATATATTTTTTTTCTGTATTCATCTAAGAGTGAAGTAAGTCCATGATGTTACGACAGCGACTAAATTGACAGTTATGATTACATAATTTATATTACTAAGGAGAATCGAAAGATATTATTGGATAAGAAAAGAGACTTACTTACTAAGCTTCCATTTCGTAATTTATTTATCTTACCTAAGCATATTTTCTTGGTTAAAGATACTCTCTGCAGGCAGCACGATGGGTATATCTGGCGCTCGGGTCAAGCTTGTAAGATATAAATAGCTTTAATATATCGTTATTAACCAGTATTGATTTTTCTATAAAGTAATATTACTACAACGGTGGACGTATGCAAAGGCAAGATCAATGTAGTCCCATCCTTACACGTCAATGTTACCGTAATACCATGGTATTCCAATCATAGTTCCTCTTGCCTGGTTATGCTGCGCCTGCCGGCGAAGGGTCTCGTCATTTGTCCCTCTCCTGTCGAAACTAAAGACAAAGTGGTAGAGACAGTAGCATGACGGTTAAAGATTCTATGATCTATATTACTCAGTATTGTTCGGCGTCATCACACCTCTGCCAAAGAACTCGCTGATAAGCCCAAACCGGTCCTTACTACGCTGTAACTCAGAGTGGAACAGCTCATGCTGGCTAGCTGCTTTGATCTGTCTCTCACGTATTGCCTTGAGGGTTGAGTTATGCGGCGCGCAGACGGGACATTCCGCATCTTCATCAACCTTATTGAGGCACCGTTGGTGGAAGGAATGCTTGCAAAGAAAGTGAACTGTCGGAAGATCAAGGTTACCACCACAAGATGAGCAACGACGTGCCTGAAAGACAGTCGGTTTGGAACCGAGCTCTTCCATCTGCTGTTTCCTGGACTCTGTTTCTTTTGAATAACTGGCTATCAGGCGGCGGTTCTGCGAGACATCTGTTAGTGCTGAGAATTCTCCAAAGGAGGAAAAGAGGGGAGCTAACGTTGGAGATCTCTTTTCTTTCCCTTTCGATATTATCACTGAGATACTTATTGATCATACCCATAGTGACCACAGAATTATTGCTGAATGCCTGTATCACTTGCAAGGGAGCCATCAACCCGTCCCTATCAATCTTTTGAAGAACCGCATCCATCTCACCGCCTGCTTCTTCGAGAATTTTTGGGCTCGATGCAAAATACGTTAAAGCATCGATATATAGCTGTGGCTCTTCCGGTCCGTATTTCTTGAGAGCTTTTATCACGCCTTGGGTATCCTTGGCTGATATATATGATCGCAGAATATCTGCTTTAAGACCTTCCTTTTCCCGGACCAAGGTTTTTCCCTCATGGAAATTTGACAGGTCCGATAGAAGCAGAACATTCGACGCAGATACGGGAATCTATAAAAAAATCAACATGTGTACGACAGGGGGGCATATTGTAGTGTGACACTTACGTTTTTCCCCTGTACCAAGCTTTTTGCTTTTGATTCCCATTCTTGCTTCTCTGAATATGCTTTCTTGCGGTTTGCCGTATCCAGGTACATCTCAAACAAGGTAGTGTACAGGTCAACCTTGTCCTCTTCCTTAAGCCCATCTAGCTCAAGTAGTTTCTCCAGAAAGGTGATAAATTGATCAGGATGATCGACAAAGGAGGAAAAGGCAGTTCTGGGTTTTGGAATTTCGTAATTTGACGACGATTCTTCACTTGTAGCTTCGGGCTCTGGCGTTGCTTGAGTATTGGCCCCATTGCTTTGTTTATTGTCTTGCTTAGAACCTCCTATGTATGGCAGAGGGATGAATGATGCGATATTCTGAACAGCTCCGCCTGTAGCTTGTGGTTTGACTTCAGGGGATTGTTCTTCTTCCTTTCGAGGTTTGTATCTCCCGGAATAATAATCAATAAAGAGTTGTGTTGTTGATTCCGGACAATGCTCAAGCAGTACACGGGCATATTTCATCAAATTTGGATAGGCCTAAAAGCAGCGTTCAGTAACAAATGTCTGGACATTATATGGGATACTGTTTGACAAACTTACAAGCTCTGGCTCAAGACTCCAAGTATATTTGAGGGCTTCAGAATATTTCTTCGAGTCTTCGATCAGGATGTCAACCACCATGTCACTTTCGCCATGCTTGGTAGCTAAGTATGCGGCTTGTTCAAAATAGCCACCCTGACGGCACATGGCTATAGCAGTTTCTAGGTCAAATTTCAATTCTCCCGGTGCCATGATGAAAGAGTCCAGCTTTTCAGTATCCTTTAGCTTAGCATAGCAGTTTAAGAGTAATGTCGTGTGATCGGCCGTTGCCTTGTCGTGATCATGTAACTCTTCTAGGTAGTCAATCAGGTTATGGATTCGTTGAGTGTCAAGGAACTACGAGGTCGTTAGAAGATAGCAACATTGTAGGGGGCGAGACGAAAAAAAAAAAAGGAGAAGCCTACCTTTCGAATAACATGGGAGGGCTCGGTATTGTCAATGGCCCGGAGATACTGCTGCATGGCGGTATCATAATCCCCCTTTTGGTACAAGAAATCGCCATACTTTCTAAATATGACATTTTGTTGTAGTCTGTCAACGCCTGACTTCTGCGCCAGGTTGATTGCTAAGATATATAGATTCCTCTGGTACAACATTTCAAGTTTTTGCTGGAGTGGCTTTTCATGGTACCGATTTACCTACAAGACCATTAGATCAAAACTTCAATTTGGCGAGGAGTATATAACCGTACCTTGCCGTCAACAGTGACAATAAACAAATCACCCCATTCCATAAAGATGAATTTCACACTATTAGAAAGAGACTCGGAATGTGCGATAAATCTCAGATCCGACTCTAGGAGAGTGAAGGTGGAAGTATTGAAGATGTCATCAACTTGGCTGGTTCCAAAAATGCTGACGGGTTCTGTCCTTGATAGGGCAGCTCTAGGCGGGCAAACCAAGGCGATATAGTCTTTGAAAACGTTGACCGAGGTTTTGGGGCTATCAAAAGCAAAGCTCGGCCCCCGTCCCCTACGACCATATGTATATATTGCGTCCTCCCTAGCCACGAGAATGTCACCGGTATCCTGGTCGAAAGTCATGCAACCAACTCCACATCCCAGGTCTTCGAGGGCACGCGCGGGCTTTCCATCCCCCTTTCCCCCGATGACTAGTGAGAGTATACGGCTTGTGGTAGCAATGAATAGAGTCGCGGGACCGGATCGCTGTATTTCGAGCCCCGTGATGGGTTCTTCTGATTCGAATACTATGCGTTGTTCGGCTCCGCGGTCGTGTATGAGGTCGCCTCTGATCAGAGTGACGGAGCCATTGGCAAAGCCGACAGCAACTTGCCAGAGATCATCAAGGACTGCCAATGCAGATATCTAGAGTGCAGATATGAGCCTTCTGCCTTCCTCTCGGAACGTATAGAGTAGCCATTCATAATACCGGGAACTGTCTTAGCTTGTTTTGAACTGATTTCGTGGACCGACAACGGGGTCCCCCGGTCTTCTTCTCGGTCTCGTTAAGTGCCCATACCTTCAGGACGGGCTCGTTGGACAGATCCTCGCTGATTGTGACCAGGTAAGAAGTCGAAGGGACCTGTCTCATATGCGTGACCGAGGTGCCATCGTATGCCCGAAATGAGCGGACGACTTTGTATTGCCGGGAGAGGATGTGAACGGTGCCGTTGGTAGTGCCGACGAAGAGGTTATCTGACCCGGTGCAGACGCAGCTTACATCGTTCTACAGTATACCATGCGGTCATTGTTAGCGGAGGTTCAGGTAGATAGACGGCGTTAGATATTCCTATCGGTACAGGGGGGTGCGCGCATACGGTGAAGACGGAGCTGCCTTCGCTGTCGACGAATTCCACCTGCGAGACGTCGAAAAAGTCGAAGGTCTTCCACTAAACGAGAGAAACAGCTGGTGTTAGCGTCTGGCAGCATATCAAGGGCCAAAGCATTGCTTTACGCACCGAGGTCAGTGCCATGTCAGCTCTGTCTGCGCCATCGAGCGGGAGTATGTGGTAGTTGGGAGGTTTTGCGGAGATGCGAGGTTGCAGCCTGTGAGGTCATCACCAAAGCGCCAGCCTCCACCAGCGAAGCGATCTCACGAGCTAAGTAGCTATCGACCTACGCAGACTACAAGGATAAGAGAACCAACTACAGCAGCAGCATAAACGAAGAAGTCTACGAATAAGCGCACAAAATATGTATTCGCTATCTACTCCGCGTCGACGAAGGAACTAGGTACATTTCTGATGGCGCTTCTGCACTCGGGCGTCTCTCCCAAGCGGTGGCCGCTCAACTAGTTAGCAAAGCAGCTCAATCAATAGACATAGATGTTGCGCAGAGACAGCTGCAACGTCTATCGGCAGACGTATCCTCCGTCAATGATCAAGTCAGCACCGGTGGTGTATGTGCTGGCGTCGCTGCAGAGGTAGACATAAGCTCCCTTGAGCTCCTTTGCGTCTCCGTTGCGGCCCATGGGGATCATGGAGAGCCACAGGTCCTGGACCTTCTTGTCGACGAAGTCAGAGAGGCCGGTGTCGATGTAGCCGGGCGAGATGCTGTTGACACGGGCAAAGTCGCGCCATTCGTTGGCCAGGGAGCGGGCCATGTGGATGCAGCCGGCTTTGGCGACGTTGTAGGAGGTCTGCTCCTGGGGGAAGTTGGCGATGTGGCCGGACATGGAGGAGGTGATGATGAAGCTGCCGGTGCCACGCTCCTTGAAGTGGGCGCCTACGGCCTTTGCACAGTGGAATGTGCCGTTGAGATCGGTCTGGATGACCTCGTTCCAGGCCTCGACGGAGCCCTCGAGGATGCCGCTGTCGGCGGTGCGGCCGGCGTTGGCAATGAAGGCGTCAATCTTGCCAAAGTCCTTGATGACCTGCTTGACGAAGTTGTCGACGTCGTTCCAGTCGCCAACGTTGCACTTGTATGCCTTGGCCTTGACGCCGTACTTCTCCATGAGCTCTTTGGCGTTCTGCTCACCACCTTGGGGGCGAGAGGAGTAGGTGATGGCAACGTCGGCTCCCATCTCAGCACAGCCTCGGGCGGCCTCAATGCCCATGCCGCGGGGACCAGAGGCGCCGGTGACGACGACGACCTTGCCCTTGAGGCTGAACAGCTCCATGAGACTGTCGGCCTTTGGAACTGGGATAGGCATGATGGCGGCTGGAACTGGATGAATTGAATTTGAATGGGAGAGAAGGCAGGCAACGAATTGGTTATTCGAGAAGAGCAGAGGGGAACAGAGATATACTCAGGATCGGTTTATATATCGAGTATACCGCGAGTATACCATATATAGGGGGGCGATGGAGGGGGATGTGTTTTTATATATACACATTTCTACCAGGCCGGCCGGAGCTGCTGCCCCTCCCCCTCCATGCCTCCTTCTGCCCTGCTCCCGCCAAGCGAACTGTAACTATGGCAAGTTCCACGCTGCGACACGTAGCAGTGCAGGGCCGGCGGACATTCGACCGGCGCATCCGAGGCGAGAGGTGACATCATGGGCGGCCGAGATGGAGCTGCTGCTCTTCTACTGCCATCTCGCACTGGCTGTGGGCGGTGGAGTTTCGCTCCGCCGCCAGGAAGTTAATTCTACTTGCGATGTGGGAATCTCGTCAAAAAAAAGAACGCACCAAGGAAAGCAGAAGGATGGAGAAAAGGCGAGGCCGGGGTATCATATTACCAATGTCTATGGGCTATCAGGCTGATGCTTATGCTATGCTGATGCTGGCTGGTGCTGCTGGTGCTGCTGATGTAAATGTTGTTAATGCTGACAATTGATGATGCATGAACAAATATCAAAAAGTCTAGAAAGCAAGAAAAGGAAAATATATATATATAAAAAAGATTAAAAAAGGGCGAGCGAACGATGCAAGAACCAAAAAGAAACAAGGTTATTTAGCACACATGTGTGTATGTATGTATGTATGGACCAACACATCTTGATCTTCGCTCGTGCCTAAACCTTGGGGGTGGGCTGTTTCAGGCCATTGGCTGTTGCGGTGTTATCTCGCAGTAGCTGTCGGTCCCGCTCAATATCCCAGCTTTGAAGAAAGCTCTCGGCATCTTCGATCGCTCCTGTCAGGTCGAAGTTGTTCTCTTGCAAAACGAGCAAGCCTTGGCCGTCGGGCTGAGTCGAGAGGTCCGTAAGCCCGCTCATGGCCATCGCAAGCGACAATGGTGTTCCCGAGGAGTGGGTGGTGGAGGGCTGCTCCCCCGCCAGAGAGCTCCCAGGAGGGGCCCGAGTGGGCAGCTGGGAGGGGCCGTTGATCTGCTGCTGAGGCCGTGGACTAGGAGGACAGGATGCAGTCAGTGCAAATCTGTCGGGCCCCGGAGCGGTCTGCTTTTGTTTCCCTTCGTGTTCACTCGCTTGGTCATTAGTATCCGTATTCTCGTCGTGAAATCGGGCATTCTTTGACACTGTACTTGGTTTTGATTTTGCACCTATCGCCCGAAGGCCGCCGGTTAAGGAATAGAATGGCTTGATGACCTTCTGCAACGAACTGCTCGATGCAGCTCTTCGAAGCAGGTTGGTGGGACGCTGCTGAGCTCCTTTCAGGGATGGCGGGCACGCATTATTATTCGTTCCTGGCTCCTGTGTAGTCGGAGCCGAAGCTTGTAAGTTACTAGTTTTGTTCTCTTTATTATTATCCGGCGGGCGGCTGTCTTCCGCCGCGGATTCGTTGCTTTGATGGAACGGAAGTTGGAGCAGGTCCGCAGAGGTAAATGGAGTGAGCTGCGGTGGAGTGAAGATGGGTGGAACTACCTGAGCGGCCGGTATCGTTTCGGAGTCCTGCTCTGGGAGAGTCGAGCCCGTCCTTCGTGCCTCACTTTCTCTCAGGCTCAAAGGGGGGACGGAAGTGTTGCACGTAATTGAAGCCTTCTGGCGTTCGTTAACGATCGCCTTCTTCTCCTGCAAGAATTCGGATTTCCTTCCTGAAGCAGCTGCATTTTCGAGTGATGAGTTGTTTGTGGCGTCGAGAGTATTGCTTGCAGTTGGTGCGGGTATCTCTGCTTGATGCTGGTTCTTGTTGCATAACACAGGCTCGAGAGTAGGGATAGCCCTGGAAGGACTGCCCGCAGTGCTTGGACCTTTTGATGCACGAATAGACTCCTCTAGACTGGACTTGTGCAGCATCCGCAGCTTGTCTGACTCAGCCGACCTACCGTGATTATGATGGAGAAAGGTCGCTTGCTTGTTCTGGGAAGTGGGATCGTGAGTAGTGGCAATCAGTTGACGAGCGGCGGGGGCAGATGCATTGATTGCTGTGAAGTTGATAGTTCGATGGTACGTGACCTGACTGGTGGGTGTTCCTGCACGGCAGGGAGACGGCGAGCTCCTGTGTGACCTCTCGGAAGGGCGCTTCGACACGCGAGAGCTACTTAATCTAACTGACGGGGACGGGCTTGGAGACTTTGGTGTCTCGTCTAGTCCGAGGTGCGGTCGTGACTTGTCTCTCTTCGACCACACATCCGATGCAGTGGCTGACCTTGATTTCGAAGACTGTCTTGAACTGGCTCGACTCCGACTTTCCAGGTTCGTGCTTATACGCCGAGACTGGGATTCGCACACATGGTTGCTCTTCTGATATATATCAGTTCCAGCAAACAGGTTTGGGGTTTCTTGAAGCGTTGCCGCTTGTGGGTCGGAAGGCTTCTCTGCTTGTATCACACATGGCCGCGAAGTGTGCTGTTGTGTGCTGTGAGGAAAAGACACAGACCGTGGGTTATGTACCTTCCGCCAGGGATTGACCCAACCATTGTCGAATGGTCCAAGCAGTGTAGCCGTTGAAATAAATGGCGGATGTCCCTGCAAGTAATCTCGTGCTACTCGTTCGATTCTCCTTCTCTTTGCGGCCCTCGCGGCTTCGTCCTTCTCACTCTCGCTGTCCGATGAGGCAGGGGATAACGGGTCAAACGATAGGGATGATAAGAAGGAGTCCGGGAATTTGATGGGCATTATTTTGAGCCGATAAAGGAGGAGGTCAATATTAGATGCCCTCGGAGTACAGGCTGGTCATTGAGCAACAGACGCAGCACTGTGTACAGTTGGGATAGCATTTGCGGAAGGCCACACAACGGGCGGGCTGACAGGATAGATAATTAGCGGACCGTACTAACTAATCCCCTAGAGCACCCTATATGGCGAAGGCAGAATATGCCACGAAGGCAACAGCTGGCGATTCGATCGGTTTCAACGGTCACAGGGGATGCTCTAAACGCGCGAGGAAGGAAAAAGGCTATGGTTGCCTAGCTGCTGCGGCTGTTGCCTTGCTTCGAATAAGCCCCGGCGGCTATCCCAGAACGACTTGAAGCTATCGAAGCACTTTTCCTGTGCTAAAATTCCAAACAAGCGACAAACCGCACCAAGCGTGTGCAAGGCCTTAAGCTGAGGGACTTCGAAAGCCCAGTTTCAAAGTGTTAGTCTTTGGAGCAACCACACCACCAAACCGCTTGGCAGGTCAACCTGCGGCAGCGGGCCGACAGAACTTCCAGCGCCACAGAGCCGAGACCTTCGACTTACTTGCTAAACAGCTTCAGGGATACGGGGACAGCACCGACAACACCGCACAAACACCCGGCAACTTGTCTCTCTCTCTCTGCCTGTATCTGATCTTTCTTGTCTGCTGTTTCTTTCTTGTCGTCGCAAAAAGCTTTTCATGTCGTCAAAATAGAAAAAATAAACAAAATTTTAAGCATAAAAAGAGCGACAAAAATAGAACGCACGTGATATGACTAAGCTTGACGCTAACCTAGTTAGCTGTAAATAATATCGGAAGGATATTTTAAGCTAACGGGGCGAGCTGTCGATCAAAATGGTGATGGTTGAGGCTGAGTCCTGAGTCGTCTCATTAAGAATAACTAGTTTAGTGAACCAACGCCGCGCTGATTTGCTGCGGCTCGCAGGCTGAAGGAATACGAGCAACCCTCCATCTTCTGTTAGATCAGCTATTTATTCACACCAAGCTCCCTGCTCGAGATACCATGGCATGAAGGCCAGCTATGGAGCTACGGAGGCGCACGGAGAATTAGAGTATACCACCATGACTTCGGATAGCTCGTCGAGTACTTCCTCGACACCGCCAAACGATGCCCGCAAGTGGCAGACGGTCTTCAGGGTCAAACTGAACCCGCAGCCGGCTGACAACCAGACCCGCCTGCTGTTGACAGAGAAGAGGAGAGCCTCTGGGTTTCACCCTCGTCGATCCCACCGCAAGTCGAGAGCCGGCTGTCTTGTATGCAAGAGACGCAAGGTCAAGGTATCTACCCTCCAGCAGACATAGCTACCGAGTGAACTACATGCCAGACAAACTGACACATGTACTACTTACAGTGTGATGAAGCGAGGCCTGGTTGTCGGAATTGCTCAAACTACGGTGTTGCATGCAGCTACCCAGTAAATCTTGATGCTGGCAATCGTATGAGAACCGTCGGCCCCCTGGGTGACCCTAGCATGGTCATGTTTTCTATGTCTCTCGACAATATGACCACCAAGATCGGCGAGACATTGAGCTTCTACCCTGGTTCGGGCATCCGCATGCCCAGAATGTCAGGTTCTGATCGGCCCCTGGAAGTTCAGGCGCTTCGACACTTTGTCAACTGCACTGTGGAAACTATATCGACCGTATCAATCCGTGAGCTGATGCGAACGGACGCAGTCCAGGTAGCGTTCGCCGTAAGTTATACTCCTTCATTTATCTATAGATACACAACTATTCTTCCAACACTCCGTTTGTGCATTATTGACACACCCTACGTTAGAACCCGTATGTTATGCATACTATCATTGGTGTAGCGTTGCTCCATCTGAATCGCATGCTCCCGTATTGCAAGATCAGGCAGGCAGCAGAAGCCCATCACTGGCTAAAAGCGATCAAAAGATATCGAGAAGCGCTTTCCTACGAAGTTAGTGCTGCAAACATAGATGCTCTTTTGACTTCATGCATGCTCATGGCAGTTAACTGCATGTGCCCTGAAAACTTCACCCCAAAGGACTCGTGGGTCCTGACTTCTGATCCATCAGCCATGAACTGGATATACCTCCAAAACGGCCTACCTTACCTTCTGGAGGTTGGTGGCCCCTTTATTCCTCAAAGTATCTGGGGTCCTGCTTTTGTAGCTGCAGAGGAAGCTCACGACGAGTTACTGAACGATTGTCTTCAGGGAAGAGAAGGCATGAACCCGAAATTGGCTGATTTCTGTGGAATAACAGATTTAACCACAGCCGAGACTAGCCCTTATTTTAAGCCACTACAAGTTGTAAGCACGATGCTGGAGATGGAAAAAAGTCCTTCCACGGCTGGGTATTTCTCATCCTTCCTCGGCCATTTGGGCCCTCGATTCCTCGAACTGCTGAGGGTCAGAGACACAAGAGCGCTCATCATCATGGCCCATTGGATGGGTATCATGTGCCTGATATCACACTGGGAGCCTTGGGTAGAGGGAAGGATCAGGTCCGAATGCATTGCCATATGCATCTATCTTACTCCTAGTGCAGACGCCCAACTTCTAGAACTGCTTCGGTTTCCATCTATTGCCTCGGGGTTTATAAATACTGAATAATCTTGTGCCATTGTTACATGGTAGCATAATAACCATTGAATTTCTGCAACAGCAACACGAATATATCTCCTAATATACCCATTTGATAAAGCCGAAAAGTCAAATTGCAATTATAGCCGAACCCCGCCTGGCTACATTGAGGGAAACAAAAAAAGAAAAATATCAGTCTGCTACTTCTGCATCTAGCAAATGGCGTGAGTCTTTCCAGTCTTCCCCTGAAGAGAGTGATCTTCTGCCTCGTAAGCTGTAGTGGAGCGCTCGAGCTTTCCGATGCTTGTGGCTCTCTTGCGAGTGTATCTAACAAAGGATGGTCAATTAGTCTTGTCTAGCGGCAAAATTCAAGCAAAAGAGTGTTACTTACTCGCGGTACTTCTCCAATGTCTTCTTGTCCATCTCTTCTAGCTGAGCGAGAGCGAGCTTGAAATCATTGACCAAGCTGTCACAGCGACTACGACTGAAGTCCTCGCGAACAACGATGCGCATGAGCTTCAGTTTCTCGCTATGAGGGGCCATAGTATACGCCGGTACAACCCAGCCACGTTCACGCAGTTGATGGGCGATGGCGAACTCATCATACTTTTCAGCTGTCTTTGGGGGTAGACGGAAGGCCACAAGTGGTAGACCACGCCCCTTGCCATCGCTCATTATGATGAATCCAAGCTCCTTGAGGGAGGCCGCGAGGTAGTCTGCCGTGCGAGTAAGGTTAAGCATTATAGCACGGTATCCTCTCTTTCCGAGCCGGATCATTTGGTAGTACTGGCCAATGACCTGAGAGGCACCTTTGGAGAAGTTAAGAGTGAAGCTCGCCTGGTTGGCTCCAAGATAGTTGATGTTAAATACCAGCTCTTGCGGGAGGTACTCTGTGGATCTCCAGACTATCCATCCGACGCCAGGGTAGACCTACACGACCAGTTGAGGTTAACATTTCACATTACCAGAGCATCCGGCAGTAATCAAGAACAAATACTGACCAGGCCATATTTGTGTCCAGATACGTTAATGGACACAACCTTCTCAAGGCGGAAATCCCATTCAAGACCTGGGTTGACAAAGGGAGCGACAAAGCCACCACTAGCAGCATCAACATGGATAGGACAGTCGATGTTCTTCTGGACAAGGAGATCATTGACGGCCTTGATGTCCTCGTACTGACCGGTATAGGTGGTTCCCAGAATGACGCAGATACCAATAGTATTTTCATCAATCAGATTAACAGCTTCTTCAGGGTCGAGGACATATCTCTCGTTAGTGCAGTACACGAACTTCTCCTCGATATCGAAATATCTGGCGGCCTTCTCCCAGCAGACTTGGACGGCACTGCTCATAATGATATTGGGGCGAGAGCAGTCTTTCCCCTCCGCCTTGCGGCGATTTTGCCAGCGTTTCTTCATGGCAAGGGTTCCTAGCATAATAGCCTCGGAAGATCCGATGCAAGAGGTTCCCATAGCATGGTCATGCTCGTGTTCACCTTCTCCAACGGGGGCATGAAAGAGACGTGCAATCATATTGACACAGCGGTTCTGGATATCGGCTGACTGGGGGTATTCCTCATAGTCAATGAAGTTCTTGCTGAACGACTCGGTCATGAGTTTTTCAGCTTCATCTTCCTGCAAAATTTCAATGTATGTTAATCTACCGTAGCAACGACCTAGCTATGCTAATTCTATTCTTACCATGTATGTGGTAACGAAACTCGCTAAACTATAAGCATCATCCAAGTCAGCCAGGAGAACACGGCAAATAAATAGAATAACGAGAGCCAGGACATACTTCAACATGGGATTGCCGTCCAGGCTGAGCTCATCCTTGATCATTCGATAAGCGACCTCCTTGGGCATCTCCTTCTCCGGCATTTCATCAGTAGGGAGATCCTCGGCCGCAAATCGAGAACCATAGACGCTGGAGTAGAAGTCATGGTCCTGCGGCTCCTCAAGGTCTAAGGTGTCGACACGATTGAGGAGCTTAGGGGGGAAAGCAACGGAGTCCTTTCGGACTCTGGATATATGAACCATGGTGGCAGCTGGTGGGACGAAAGCTTAGAGCCCGGAATTTCTATCTCTCTTCTCCTTAACAACAGGAATACCTACACAATCGACAGAGAACAGCAACGTACAGAACACAAAAAGAGGAGAGCAAGAATCTTCAGGTGTAGGACGATCTCAGCCTATATATACGTTGACGCCCACCAGGTTGCCTGACCGGTCACCCACATTATTGCTGCTCTCCACCAATGTGTCTTGCGCAACCCCACAGGCTGTCCCTCACTCCTGGGGCCTTCCCCCTAACCCTCCGAAGCGAACATAACGCATGCTCAAGGAGGGGTAAAGGCAGAGCTAGACAATTGTGGCGGTGTCGAGAACAGTTGCAGGGATTCACACATGTTTTTATACGTGGATGTGGAAACTGGCTTCCAGACTGGGCAACGTGTGTATGCACGACCACAGCCCAATATGTACGCCGGACATGGGCATTGATATTGTTGCATATACGTGGAAGCGGGTGTAACGCCCTCTCTCTCCGCTCCTCTTCGAACGGCTCACACTCTCAAACAAGACAGGCTCAAAAGACCATTTTCTTCCTCGTCAACGCCGACGGAGCTGATGGGCCCCATATTTTATTGGCAAAAGCTTGTGCTGTGGCTTGCAAAGCTTAATTGAGACAGGGGCTACAGGGCTCGCTTGCGGAAACTAGGGAAAGGGGCGATGGGACGAGAGAATCGTTTCTCGGACACGCATCTTCTCACAGTAACAGCTATCTCTCATTATTGGCCATGTTTCTTGCGATCGTTTTCGGAATCCTGTCATCCAAAAAGTACCAACAAATCACAATTTACATAGCTCTCTTAGTAGCTAAGGACTTGGGTAGGTAATAATTTTATCACCGCATAAGATTCAGAATATAAATGCCCAATAAGGTCTCTTATAAAATAACCACCTACGATATATATACCGATAGACGCCCAGCATGAAGAAATAAGGAGGTTGCAATTCGATGAGTTGTCAAAGTGGCTGATTACGTTACTCTATCACGTGACTACTTACATAAGCTCACTAGGCCAAAACTGCATCCTCGAACGACGACGTCAATATCAACAACGGCAACAACGACAACGACAACAACATCTCCATCATCCATAACCAGCGGTTATATCAGACGGCACACCGAGTCAGTAATACTTGGGCAGTTTGCACTTGCGCTCCTGGATGCCATTGTACACCACGCGGTTTGGGCTGTCCTTGGCGTCCTTGACTAGGTTGGGGATGGTCAGGTTGAGGACTCGCGCGGTCACGGCCGATGGAGAGGGCAGGTTCTTGATGCTCATGAGGTAGGCGACCAGGCCGGCGACATGAGGACTCGCGGCCGATGTGCCCGACTGCGTGGACGTGGCATTGTTGCCACCCTTCCAGCATGACTTGATGAGTTCGCCCGGAGCCCAGATATCCACGATCTTGCCGTAGTTCGAGAAGCTAGGGCGGGTGTTCTCCCAACGGACGGCACCAACGGTGATGGCGTTGGGTGACGAGGCCGGAGTGTTATTTTTTGCGTCTTTCTGTTTAGGCCAGTCTCGTTAGCATGGATATATATATATATTTGGTCTTGATCTTTTGACGAAGATCCTACTTACGCCATCGTTGCCGGCGGCTACCACGGTGGTGATGCCGGCCTTGAAGGCCCTTTCCGCGGCGTCGTCGAAGGGCTGGTACTTGGCACCGGCTACTGTGGTTCAGCACATGCTTTACGTTACCGTTGCAGAGGAAGGGAATGAATACATACAGATGCTGAGGTTGATAACCGCCTTGTTTTTGCGGTTCGAGTCCGTGATGTTCCTGATGATCCAGTCGTACGTCTCAAGGATGTAGTTGTACGTGCTCTGATCTATCGTCAGTATCATCATCACGATCGCCTCTTGCTAGACGAAACAGGTGCGCGCGGGAGTGTACTCATAGAGCCAGTGTCAAAGGCCTTTGCAGACACAACGTTCGCCTTCTTAGCAACGCCATACGTCTTCCCGGCAATGATACCCGCCACGCATGTACCATGGCCGAACTCATCTGTGTGTGATTTGTTCGGAATGGCGTTGTGACCTAGAATGGCACGTCCCTCGAACTCGACATGGTTGACATTAATGCCGGTATCGAGGACGTATGCCCACACGCCTTCTCCAGCCTTGTCGTCGTACGAGTAGTCTACGAGTGTGCTGTGCAGCGGGACAGGCTTGCCCTTGCTGGACATGTAACCTAGACCCCAGCGTGCCTGACGCTGCGTCACCGTCTTCGCGAGGTAGAAGTGTTGGTCCGGGTGCACCGATTTGACCTTATGTCTCGTTAGTGAAAATTGTCATATCGCGGTTGAAACAAATATGGGTTTTGCAACTCACGTATGGGCTGCGGCTGAGATCTTCCACTCTCTTCTCGTCGAAACCGCCAGAGTACATGTTAAGATCGTGGATGTGGAAGTGCTTCATGATACCTTCGGTCTCGACTCCGCGGGCGCCAGCAGCAAAACTGTCGAGGTTAGCCCTATGCACGGAGCTGACCCATTTTTTGTGGTCCCTAATCTGCGCAGAGGTGAGGCCTTCCTTCAGTGTGACGAGATATTGGCCCGGAACAATGTCGCTGGGTCCAACGAGCAGCGGCTCAGGCTGTGGAGCGAGGTCACCCGCCACAAAAGGGAGAAGAAGCAAGCCAAAGTTTAGGAGCTGCATGACGGGCATATGTACAAAGGCAATACGTTAAGGGTATTCAGTGACAGCTGAATAAACGACTCACGACACCGATCTCTTCTCAAGATATATATATATATACATATATAATATGTTATATAAGGAGATAAAGTACATCTGATGATCAGTGAATCGGTTAGTATCGCCGAACGCTCTCGTTGATTGACCGGACTCACACATGCCAGGATGGCTGACCCTAGAAACAATATTTGAACGGGTATTCAACTATTACCTAATGGGGAACTCTTCAGAGAACCGGATGCTGTCCGCTCCTTAACCTGAAAGCAAGCTGCGATATATTACACTGCCGGGGGGTATTCATGAATATCAAGAGACGCGTTCGACGTCCTTCTAGAACAAGGAATCGCCATACTCTATCTCTCTTTCTTCTCTTCCTTTTACAAAAGCTTGCATGGGAATGTGCTCCGGTTCGTTATCTCTGCCCGTTTCATCCCATCAAGAACTCGACAAACGAGGTGCCAACACGCCAGATACCCTCACTAACCACCTTCTAACCTTCGTATCCCTCGAATAACCTATCTCTCTTTCACAAATCTTCTTCCACTGATTGCTCCAAAGGTGCAGCGACGTTGTGCTTGTTTCCCTCTTAGTTTTCCATGCTGGGGGAAGCGGCTCCTCGGGAAACTGGGGTTGGCGGCCTCAGATGATACTGTATATCGGCCCCAGAGTGCCGTTCAGACAGGAAATCGGTGTGAGCAGGGTTAGGGGCAGTTCGACTCACGTATAGCAGCATGAAATGGCGATATCGTTAACGTAATTTCCTATGAATGCGAGATTCCCTTCCCCAGACAGTGAATTCTGTCGTCACCCAACAGCTAACTAATAATCAGATACTTCCGCTCGACCGAAGTAACTAAATAGCTAGTTAGTCATCCCTGGAAAGGGGGCGCAATTCTCTGTTGTGAAGGCCTTGCGGCCAGTGAACTACTTATCAGAAGACGTCTGCCGTGCAGGAGGATATAGAAGACAAGAGAGACTCTTCCTTTGGTTAGTTCTCATTCTCTCCCTCCCTCTCTCTCGGTCCCTGCTGTCCGACGTTGTGGCATATGGTTTTGCATGGTTCGGCCGTTTTTTCCCCTAACCCCTACATCCCCCCCCGGACTTCTCTTCCAAAAGAGGCAGCTAATTTCATCACCTCTCTCGCCGGCGACTTAGCCGCTTCACAGATTCCAGAGCTGACGCCCAAGGAAATGTTATTCACCATTTTGGTCAGCCCGGTTAATCGCAGGTCTGCGTCTTCCGACCCGGCTTCTCTCGAGACATGCCTATACCACAAAGTCAACTAGTTCAAGTTAGTTGTATCGTCGACCTCTCCATCGGTCATCACGTTAACTACCTACCTTCTATGCAGTCCCCCTTACCACGGCATCGGTTTGCCGCTGCCGTCCGCCTGTCTAAACCTTGTTTGCTGTGGGGGTCACTTGCTCTGTGCTTAATTAGCAAGTTACATGGGATAAGATACGTACCTAAAGGTAGGTATAGATGTTGCTCCGTGCGGGAAACCAGGGGGGCTGCTTATCTGGCTCCGTCATAATTCCCGGTCATCATGGTAAAAATGAAAGGGAAAAAGGGGGGGAGGTGCCACATACTGACGGATCTACCTTTTTTCTTTTCACGTTGATTAGGCGCAAACCATGGTTGAGCTGAACCGGAAAGGCTGAATTAACAATCAGACTCCATCGATATATGATATGTGATGGCAGCGACTATACACCCCAGCTCTATACTCAATGCTGCCTGACACGCCGTGTCCTGGTAGCTGCCCATAATGCTCGCTCTCGACATGCTTAAATCCAACAATACCAACAACCACAATAATACTGGAAGTGGGCGATTATCAGCTCCGCCCTGCGCTCGGCTGCATAGTCACACTTTCGAACTCGCTCGTATAACTATGCGCTCTGTTCTCATAATGAGACGGCATGTAGCATGGATGTGGCAAATATCAGCTGCAGCATCAATTTCGTTCCCAGTCTCCAAGGCTAAGATATAAAGAGTCCAATATACCATGTACCATAAGGAGTACAAATGAAACCGTGCATTATATTCAAGACTAGGAGAACATAACTAGTCGCATATCCTACCAGTGGACCACTTATTATACAGGCTGAAAGAATTTGCATGAGCAGAACTTGAAACAAGGGGGAAAAGCATGACGGACATAACTACCAGAGCTAGGAACATAATAACCGCATCATCACTCTTATATTATTTATTAACTTAAGAGCCTCGCTATGCGGTTCATGATCCTATCCCTTAAACGGAGTCGCTTTGCTCCTCCGTTGCCCGGCGGTAGTTCGGACTTTGCCCCTTTTCTCAGGTGTTTCTGGCTTTTCTTGAACTCCTTATCCCGAGCCTTTTGTTCTTTGGCCTTTTGCTTCTCCCGGGCTTTTTCTTCTTTCTCAACCTCACGCCTCTGCTGACTGGTGAGGCGGGATATTTGAGCCTCGTCACGTTTCTGAACAGACTCCTTGTTGGCTGGGGGTTTGACGGTGCTAGAGCTTTCTACCGCCGCTTTCACCTGTTCATCCGAGGATGCCAACGCCGGAACTTTGCCTGGGATGACGGGTTCGGTAGTAATGAGCCTATCTGGTGCCTTTGCTGGGACTGCTGGCGCCGCAACCCCTAAATCTTCGGCCGTAGGCACTTCGTGTGCAGTGGTTGCTGGAGGCGCCTCCTCTTTTCCAGCGAGCTCCGTCTGGTTTGCCTTCTCTGCAGTACCGGGCTCTTCCTGCTTCATTAAAGGTACCGGAATAGGGGCAGGAATAGGAACTGGAGCGGCAGCGGGGGCTGGAGCGGGAGCTGTTTCTGTTGACACTGCAGGTTCAGCAGGAACAGCGGAAGCTTGAGTCTGAATCGGAGCCTCAGGGGCAACAGGGGAAATGGGAGCAGGGGGGTGCTCTGACACCTTTGCAGCCACAGCAGCGTAGCTAGGCTTCGGCGCTGCCGGCTCTGGTACCTGTTCTTGCGCCGGTGCCTCTGAGGCCGCTGTGTCAACCGGTTTCTCGATGATCTCCTTCTCTACGGTATCCTTCTCTATAATCCGCTCGATATGCTTCCCAGGAACTCCCCCTTCTGCGGTTGGAGGCACATACTCAGTCACCTCAGAGTGTCTTCGAGTGATGTGCGCCGTGTGCCCGGGACTCTCCTCAGTTTCTTCCTTGACCCACTCGCTTTTCTCCTTGATTCCGGAAGCGGCCTGTTGCTTTGAGTCTGAGCCCACCTCAACAACAGTGTCAGCAACGTTGTCCTCCAATTTGTTTTCGGCATTATACCCTTCCTCTTTCTCGACAGCCTCGTTGCCTATACTTGCATCTGGGCCCCTGTCAGCGGTTTCCGCCTCTCCATCGGCTGGAAAAGCGCCAATGATAGGCATTTCCGTGCGATGTGCGGCTCCCAGCGTTGAGGAATCTCTTCGTGGCGTCTCTGTGGCTCGTGTGCTCGACAACGGCCGCTGTGACTGTGCTTCCTCCACGAGTGAAGTTCTCTTGCCAAATAAGGCTGCGTTGGCGGCTGCTCTGGAGGCTGCATTATGGTCATTGTGAACTCCAAGTTTGGAATCTTCTGCAGACCAAGTCGGAGAAGGAGGGCCATGTGGTCCCTGGGTGAGATTTGCGCTCGCGCCCGAGACATTCGCTGGGTCTGAAGGCCCCCTTGCATGGATATTGCTGCTCGTTGCCGCAGCTCCATTATGACCTGGTTATAATATATCCAGTAAGTATTAGAACATAAGTGTAACCATGCGCACACACTAAAAACGCACACAAACAGAACCAACTAGATCTCGGAGAGGCGCATATCAACCTTTTGAGAATGACAATGGACGAGGCTTCTCGACAGACTCCTTCTCGTCACCGGATGCACGAGCATCTGCAATTGCGGACGCCACTTGTGGCTTGCTCTCATCAATTGCAACCGGTTTAGAAGCTGCGGGCGCCAGGCGATGCTTCCCCTTAGTCTTCTTCTTTTTCTTCCCGGTATTCGCCTGCGTAAAATGCGATCCCTGTCCCGACATCATGTTTGCTGCTGGCAGCCGCACCTGGCGACTCAGGTTCCCTTCAGTTTGACGGATATGCCGAATGATTCCGATTTGGGAGGGGGGCAAAAGAGAGAGGGGTGATTGAATAATACAGGGAAGAAGACAGAGGGAGCCAGGAGGTATATAGATTAGCTGACGAGGTTGACTTACTACCGATAGCAACACCTGGCCTGGTGATGTGACGGAGCCAACTGATATTTGCAATAAATTAGGGGGTATGTGGTATGTATAGTTGCTGCCCACCCCCAGGCCTATATACCTTTTCATCCCTTTGTTTGCTGAACGGTAACCAAACAAAAGGCCTAGAAACAAGAGGAAGGGGGCCGAAGCCGTGGTTGCAGCGTAGCTCATGTGGCGGAAGCTGGTTCTGGTAGAGATGAGGTCATAAAAATCCAATATGGCTCTTCAAAGTTGGCGTAGCATCGTCCCATGCAAAGTATCTATACAAGCTTGATAACACAAATACATGGCACAAGAAGTACATTTCAAAAAGAGGAATTTCCTCTTTCTATGTACGCATGCAAAAAGCCGTCCCCATACTCCAACGGGGGAGGGGGAAAAAAAAGCAACCAGGACGACCGACATGGCCATTATGTACTGCTGCCACGAAGGCTCGCCGGTAAGGCCCGAGGAAGGCAGGCCTGCGTTTGCATGGCAGCATCACAATTTTTGGCTGCAGAAGCTTTGGTCGGCTGGGATCCGTCAGCTCTGCTCTCTACCAATGGAGAGACTGCAAGAACCGCTCGGAAACGCTGTCAACTGACCAACTGCCCATATTGTCGTAAGTGGTGGGCTGATGTTCGGCAATTTTATATGTTTGGTTAATAATCGATGCAGATGCAACGGAAGCACCGTGTAGCTTTTATTAGCCCTGTCCCCGATTATATAGCCCTACAGCCTCCCCCTAGCAGCATCCATCATTGTCGATAGCCCGAACAGCCCTGTAGACTAGCTAGCTAGTTACTTTAGTCCAGCTAAGCTCGTTAGAAACAATTCCCAGCCATCTCGCGAGGAGCGCCACCGGACAAAATGCCGCAGGAGAAGAAGAGACGAGAATGGGATAAGAAAAAGGAAAGAAAAAGCACCACCGGACATGTCATGCCAGAGAGAGTTGGGCGCCATCCACCTTGTCCACCGTCACCGCCAGCCCAGCCAGCCATTGAGCATTCGCCTTTTTCGCTGCGAGTCCCCCCCTTGGCCGGTGGCGGGCTTGAGGATCCATCTCAACCAGCAGATGGAAGGCCTAGAAGGAAAAAAAATGTGAGGGAGAAAGGTTTCAACCCTCGAATAATATGGGTTTGATGGATAATAATTCTCGGCCCTAATATTAAAATACTGGGGAAGAAGCGAGTTCAAAGAACTCTGGTAGTCTTCTTCTTTTGTCGTCTCTCATTTTTTTTTTTTCATCTTCCCTATCCTGATTCTGCGTCAGGTTCTTCATTTGATGTTAATTAATCGAGTAACTGAGAGCGGCCCCTGTGTTTCGTTTGTCAGGATCCCGCCTGTTGTAGCTGTTTCGCAGTGCTCACACGGCCCTGAGTGATTCGGTTTCTCTGCCTGGAGAGGAATGGAAGGCAGGCCATCCTGAGATATTTCTCTCCATTTCCTTTCCTTTCTGTGCATTTTCCATTCCTTTGCTGCGTTGGGTGTTGGCAGTTTCGTCGTTCTTAATTGCATGATATCTCGATCGTTCTTGAATACATCTCGATCCAGGGCTCCGGCGGTGTCTCGCTCGACAGCATGGGACTGGGGCTTCGAGAGAGAGTGAAGAGAGCCATCTTCAGCTCTCGTCCTGGTCTATCCAGCCCTCCTTCATCGTCCAGGCTGGCTGAACGCCTCAAACAAGCAAAGGAGCACACCAATTCCGGGCCATCACAGAATAAATTGCAGCATCGGCACCGGCACCGGCACCAGCATCAACATCAACAACATCAGAACCAGCACCAGCAGCAACAACAACCTCAAAACCAGGAGCAGATGCATCCGCCGACCTCTCCGACTACGAAGAAGTCATTCCGCGCAAGCATCATCAAGACGCTGTCCCCACGGACATCGAATCGGAAAAGCAAAATAGAGGAACCCTGGCCCAAGATCGAGCTGTACAAGCCACACGAGATTCCGCGGCCAAAGTACCGCGGGCCGGTCGACAAGAGGCACCTGGCAGTGCTGGAGGCGTACTCGATCGTGCAGGCGACAGAAGGCTACAGACAGCGGTCCATTGACTCGTCCGTCTGTCCGCTGGCGACCAACCTGCCGTCGAGGCGAGACAGTGTCACGAGCATCAGCGAAACGGTTATAGTGAGACGTCCCGGCGATGTCGAGGCTGGAGTTGGCGAAGGTCAAGGCGAAGGCGAAGGCAAAGGCGCAGGTGAAGTTGAGGTTGAGGTTGCGGTTGAGGCTCAAGTCGACGACGACGACATAAACATCCGCAACACCAACCGCGACTCTTTGCAAGACGAGGAGGACTCGAACACCACGTCGACCGTGAGCTCTGATGAGGGCGCAAATGTCAGCTCGTCTACTCTTCTTACGTCGCATACGGAGGATGAGCATCTGCAGCACCTCCAGAAGCAGCAACGCCTGTCGGTGACGAGACTGAAGCGGACGACGGCGTTCACGGCCGCAGACCTGCACCACGCATTGAATTCCCTTTGATACACGAGTTTACGACCTACGGACGGCCTGTTTTAGTTGTTATTGTTGTTTATCTTACAAGAACCATGGGAGTACGGGCATCTATATAGACTACGGCGCTGGGGGGTAACAGGACATCTACACCGGTTAGCATGGAGTTACAATAGAGCAGATCATGATAGAATAAATATTCTCATTCTTATTATTATTTTATTTCCGTCAAAACCAAGATAAAGTATATAGAAACATTCCTTCATTAGTCGTATAGTGGCAGAGAAGACACAGCTACTCCTCGTGAGTTACAGCCATGTCCATCACTTCGACTCGGCCTTTGCCCTTGGTCTCTCCGCCGATGAACTCACCCAGCCCCTTGAAGGCCCCCGGCTCCGCAAAGCCCAGGACTTCCCATTCGTCGCCGCCGATCACCTCCTGCGACTCAATCTGTTCCAGGTAGCTGAGGATCCGGTCCTTGACTGTCCCCGCAGCCGCAGCTGGAGCCGGGGTAGAGGGTGATGCAGAAGCTTTGCTCTGGTCGTCCTCTTCGTCGTCGTCAGCGGCGGCCTTCTTACCTTTTTTCCCCTTGCCTTTCTCCTTTTTGGACGATGATGAGGGCGCGCTGCTTGAGTTGCCGGATGTACCAGTCGAGGATGGTGCTGTCCGGACGGGCTGTTTCAGTATAGATGTAGGGCAGGTAATACGGAGACGCATCCTGGCTCGCATGACGGGTATAGGCTGCCAAGCGATCAGGGCCTTCATCGCGTCCAGGGCTTGGATCTTCGCTGACTTTGAAGTTGTGACGCCCGTCCACAGCGGTTTTCGTGGGGTAAGCGTCAGATCTGCTGTCTTCTTCGCTATCTCCTCGTCTCCTTCTGCCTCTGCGGTTTCATGTTGTTGGTGTTGGTGTAGCTGCTGCTGCTGCTGCTGCTGCTGTCCGCTGGCAGCACTCAGCTGGTCCAACGCTTTACCAATCATCCCTGTGGTGTAGACGCGTTTCGACACGGGGTCGACCAGCCTGGCAGACACTATCTCCAACACCTCCTTCTCGACCCGATCGAGGATATCCCGTCTCTCCTTCTCGCCCACTTGTACCTCGCCCTTGCGCAGGATCTCCTGGATAACATCTTCTATCTTGTAATCCTTGCCAAACGACTTGGCCAGCTCTGCTGTGGGCGCAGTGTGGCCTCGGGATACGGAGAGGAAAACAGTGGGGATCTGAAGGACATTGTCCAGGTCTGTCTCAGCTCCAGATCGGTACTCTAGCAGCTTATTCTTATAGCAGGCCAGTTCGTATCTCTTCTTGCCTAGAACCCAAGTTAGCTATCATCGTCGTCTCTCTCTCTCTGCCTTTCCTGCTCACTGCCCACCTTTCTTTAACCGCACGATCGACACATTTGTGAATTTTATCTGGTTCGACGGTTGCATTATCATCGGCATTTTGGCGGTGTTGCTCTGTCGACTCTCAATATATATTAATCTATTAAAGTATCTTTCTTTTTTTAAATAATTTCTCTTTATCAGAAGAAGAGCTCAACGCCGTGAAATGAAATATGAAATATTAATATAAATATAAATATCAACTTCACGTCTTCGACTTCGACTTTTTTGCAGCAAAAAAAGAAAGTTGCGATAAGATGAGTCACGTGCTATAGATAAGCAGTCACGTGAATTATTAGTCATAATTACTAGCCGATGACTCAGCATGAACCAAGGACGAGCAACAAAAGCCAACAACTTGCTTTGTCCAGCGACAGCCATTCATTATTCACTGGAAGAGAGATAGTTACCAGCCTGCATCGATGTTGCGATAGAAGTTCATGAAGATGGATTGTGAATATCTTAGTAGCGTCGAAAAACCTGGCCCTGAGAAGTCAACATCGACATCAATAGCAATATCCGTATCCCCGTAAAAACAACCACAACATTGCCTTCGCCGGCTGCTTGCATGTATCCTTGTCTTTCAGCTGCAGAATCTAACCCAAGACAACATGTCAACTGACTATTCTTTTGCGTCCAGAACTGCTGCTGCCTGTCGCCTGCTCAAAAATACTCCAAGGCGGATCCCCTGCAGGAGCGGGCCGAGGCTAAGTCACATGACATATCTATAACCAATACATCTCCGATTATATAATATGACCACGTGACTAATCTTTCCTTCTTTTTCTTCTTTTTTCACCTTCAAAAAGACCAGAAAAAGACATCAAAAAGACATCAAAGGAACATTCGGAGTAGAGTCAAGTGAATCTCCATCATCTCTAGACTGGGAATCACCTCCTGCAGGCCAGCGAAGAGCTTCTCCGTCCAAGTTACGAGTCATCAGGCGCCGCCACAGCCAGAACTCCACCGCCCGGCATCGATCGCCAACGTCATCCGGCGCTAGGAACTACCTTTCCCCAGCCTTTCTCTCGACCTTGCCGGGCTCCCTCGTCCTCGTCCTCGTCCTCTTCTTTTCTTCCTCTTCCTCCTCCTGTTTCAACTCTCTGCTATCACCAACCAACCTCACATCAAGTAGCAGAACAAACACCACCATGAAGTTTCTTACCACCGGCCTTTTGGCCACCGCTGCCCTCGCAGCCGCCCAGGAGCAGCAGGTCCTGCAGGCAGAAGACGGCATGGGACGGGCTCCCCTGCCAGACTCCTCCATCTTCGACGAGACCCTCCAGAAGTTCCAGTCCAGCCTGGAGGATGGCATCTCCCACTTCTGGTCCGAGATGAAGACCAACTTCAAGGACTACCTGCCTCTGATCTCGCTGCCCAAGAAGCACACCCGCCGGCCTGACTCGGAATGGGACCATGTCGTCCGTGGAGCGGACATCGAGAGCGTCTGGGTCCAGGGAGCCGATGGCGAGAAGCGCCGCGAAATCGACGGCAAGCTCCATAACTACGACCTCCGAGTCAAGGCTGTCGACCCTTCTAAGCTGGGTGTCGACCCCGGCGTCAAGCAGTACAGCGGCTACCTCGACGACAACGATGCTGACAAGCACTTGTTCTACTGTGAGTACCTTGGATGTCCCGGTTTCCCTGTTTATGAATCACATTGCTGACGAGTACGATCGATACTAGGGTTCTTTGAGTCTCGCAACGACCCCAAGAACGATCCCGTCGTCCTCTGGCTCAACGGCGGCCCAGGCTGCTCTTCCTTGACCGGCCTGTTCCTCGAGCTAGGCCCGGCCACTATCGACAAGAATCTCAAGGTCGTCAGCAACCCTTACTCTTGGAACTCCAACGCTTCCGTCATTTTCCTAGACCAGCCAGTCAACGTTGGCTTCTCCTACAGCGGCTCTTCCGTTTCCGACACCGTTGCTGCCGGAAAGGACGTCTACGCCCTTTTGACCCTGTTTTTCAAGCAGTTCCCCGAATATGCCACCCAGGACTTCCACATCTCCGGTGAATCCTATGCCGGACACTACATCCCAGTCTTTGCTGCTGAGATTCTCTCCCACAAGAACACTAACATCAACCTCAAGTCCGCCCTCATCGGCAACGGACTGACCGACCCCTTGACCCAGTATCCTCAGTACCGCCCTATGGCCTGCGGCGAGGGAGGCTACCCTGCTGTTTTGGACCAAGGTACTTGCCGCTCCATGGACAACTCGCTCGAGCGTTGTCTTTCCCTGATCGAGACCTGCTACAGCTCCGAGTCCGCCTGGGTCTGTGTCCCCGCCGCCATGTACTGCAACAGCGCCATCCTCGCTCCTTACCAGCAGACCGGCATGAACCCCTATGACGTCCGCACCAAGTGTGAGGACATGGCATCTCTCTGCTACCCCCAGCTTAACGCCATCACCGAGTGGCTCAACCAAAAGCCTGTCATGCAGGCCCTTGGTGTCGAAGTTGAGTCCTACGAGAGCTGCAACAGCGGCATTAACCGTGATTTCCTCTTCCATGGTGACTGGATGAAGCCATACCATCGTCTCGTCCCCAGCGTGCTCGAGAAGATCCCAGTTCTCATCTACGCCGGTGATGCCGACTTCATCTGCAACTGGCTCGGCAACAAGGCCTGGACCGAGGCCCTTGAATGGCCCGGCCACAAGAAGTTTGCTGAAACCAAGCTGGAAGACCTTAAGATCGTGGACAACAAGAACAAGGGCAAGAAGATCGGCCAGGTCAAGTCCAGCGGCAACTTCACTTTCATGCGCATCTTTGGCGCCGGCCACATGGTGCCACTCAACCAGCCCGAGGCCAGTTTGGAGTTCCTCAACCGTTGGCTCAGAGGTGAATGGCATTAGACTGCCCGTTATTTGGATGCATGAACACACACACACACACACACACAACCTCCACCCCGTACCTACTGGAGTTTCGGATTTGCCATAGTTTGAATGTCTTTTGTACTTGTTTTGCTATTGTTGCTGATACAGTATCGTGTGATCGGTTTGTGATTTTTGTCGGAATTGGTTTAACACACCCAGGCTTTGTATAGCCGACAATAGAGCTCTACAGAATGCCAGTGTCTTTGCTAGACATATATACAGCTACAAATAATCTCCAGAATCGTAGACGCTTGTAAAAGCAGTAAAAAGTCAGTGTCTTTTTAAGAAACGGGATAATCCCATGTATTATCGCTCATATTTTTTGCAGTTTCATACATCAGACTAACGCCAGCCATGGGCAGTAGTGGAGGGGAGGAAATTGGCCCAAGGTGAGGAGATAGTTTGAAGAAGCGACCGTTTCCCTTCAAGGCAGAAAAATCTAGTTCTCCGCCGTTCATGAGCGAGAATGATATTCATCGTTACATTTCTCATCTCATAACTCACACCACCCGCTCGGCGCGCACGTACTTCAAAGAAAAAAAGAGAATCGGCAAGAAAGACAAAAAATGCAGAATATGGCATCCCTTCCTCCCCTCCTCCTGATCTCCCGACCATGCAGTACGCCCGCCGACATAAAGGAAGTCCGGAGACAGTACGTTTAACCCTTCTTCTTGCTGACACCGACGGTTCGTCCTCGTCGGCCGGTGGTCTTGGTGTGCTGTCCTCTGACACGGAGACCCCAGTAGTGACGAAGACCTCTGTGGGCACGGATCTTCTTCAGTCGCTCCAAATCTTCACGGAGCTTGCTGTCCATCTGGTTAGCAAGAACCTGGGTGTCCTTGCCATCGGTGATGTCACGCTGTCTGTTGAGGAACCAGGTGGGAATCTTGTACTGGGTTGGGTTCTGGATGATGGTGACGATTCGCTCGAGCTCTTCAGAGGAAATTTCACCAGCACTGCAGCAAATGCACAGATAAGTATACATATTATTTCAATCCAAGCTGAATAATATCCCAAGGGGAGTGTGGAAGAGGAAGCCGTACCGCTTGTGGAGGTCGACGTCGGCCTTCTTGCAGACCAAGTTGGAGTATCTGCGACCAACACCCTTGATCTTGGTCAAGGCGTACATGATCTTTTGCTTTCCGTCAACATTGGTGTTGAGAAGACGGAGGATGAACTGGAAGTTCGACTTTTCGCCGGATACGAGCGCTATATCACCGTCATCGCCATCCCGTCAGTATTCATCTCGGTCATTATATTATCAATTTTCATCAAACCCGCTTCTTCCAACCGCCAACTCCGGGCCAGCTGCTGCGACTGCTAGCCCCCCCGTGGAGCCAGCGGAGGATAGAGAGAGTAGATAGAGGGTGTCAACGTACACATGCTGGGCGATATATGAAATATCGAATCAGCCGTCTGGCGGTTTGGGGTTGAGATGGAACAGAAATGTCGCTGCGTCGAAGTCGCAAAGGAGAAAGTCGAAGTTTCTCGTGATGTCTTTTTTTTGTGTGGGATTTCGGAAGCGCGCTAGGCCGCTTTGGGATTTCGCGTGGGAAAGTTCTTCGCTTGGTGATTATGTAATTGTCACATGATATGCCTTTTCTGATTGGGCAGAATGTTCAAGGCGAAAGAAGCGGCGAGGGCAGCGAGCATTGTAAACGCAGTTGAGACGGACTGGGTTTCTTGAGCAGATCACGGTCTTTCTAGTGTGGTAGTAGGCGGATTATTGTAGATAAGCATATATAATATGGTTGATTCAGATCCGAGAAGTCTGATGCCTAAACACTACTATGACAGCCAAAAGTGGTTGCAGTACGTCAAGGTAAAGGAGTGAAGTATGTATAGAGCTATCTATCATAATGTAAATATATGCCGTGCCAGAACATTTTTAGACCTATCGAGCCTACCGTAGTATCAATTCAGTCTAATATCGGGCTCGAGTAGAAAGAAAATGGCAGTTCAAAAATTATCCGCGAGTCCGCTGTGAAAGGAGAAGGTATCCGCTTCCAAAGATCAAGAAGAGAGAAGAGCATGGATGTATATACATATCCTGCCTGCGTTAGCAAACCATATCCAAGTCAAAGGGGAAAATCAAACGAAGAGAACAAAATCACATCTTTTCTTGTGTGTAACGCATCAGGACAAACGTGAAAATGGTATAAAAAGACGTGTTAGAGTGGGCAGGACTAGAGAACGGCGACGCTTAGGAAGCCCATAAGAAACGAGGAGAGTCATGACTCATGAAAATGGGTAGACCGGGGCTTTGACAATGACATTGCCAGTCCCCTTGCCTCGAACTTCTACAGCGACAAAGGCAGCAAAGCGAATACGGTTTTCATTCTCTTTTTCGCGAGCAGCTTCGGCAGCTTCTTCACGTTCTCGGAAATGGCCGGATGGCGGCCGCATGGAGTCTGTAGAGTTCCCAGGTCCAGAATGTGGCTTCTTGCTTATCAATGAGCCAAAGACCGATTTCTTGCGGCCCTGGCTAGCTGGCTGAGGTTGGGTCGGGAAGTTGGAGTCCTTTTCATCCCCACCTGTCGCCTCGGAAGAGGAGATGGCCGCCTCGATGCCCTTGATAGATGACTGGTCTACCCTATCAGTTGCTGCAGAGGATGGTTCTGAACCCAGTCGCGGCTCTATTCCTGGGTTGGAAAGGGGTGGTAGGGTAGTCTCGATTTTCATATGAGAGTCCGTGATTGTAGCACCAGGGAGGAAGTACTCAATGGAAATGTCTCTTGATTCTAGGGGTATATTTCCGCTGATTCCAACAGCAAGCTCAACAATCATCGCCACGCCATTTTCTAGCCCAGGCGGGGGAGGTGTCTTCAAATTCATCTCTAAGCTAGCTGTGAGCTTCTCAACAAGATTTCGAGTCAAGAGGGTTCGGTGCTCGTCTGCAAGCTTGCTCTGGAAGATATCGCCGAGTCCATCAAGAGTGGTGCGGCGCCAGGAAGACACCTTGGATAAATGGTTCTCTTGCTCTTCCTCGGTAACAAACTTTCCCATTCGCCGAACGTTTCGTTCAATCTGCTTCAGCTGACGGCTAAGATTAGGCTCCAGTCCTGGATGGAAATAACGGTCGAATAGTTCGTCTACGATCCAGCGTGTAAGACAAGCTCGGCCAACAGCCGTCATCTCCTTTGTTCCCACCGTATGAGCATCCTCGTTAACAACTCCCTGAAGCCAGGGAGGTATATTTTTCCAGTCCTTGCGAATGTTGAAGGAGAGATTGTTTATGGCACCGTCCAGACGGCCCAGGCGAGTAGCGTATTCATTATCATCCAGCACAGTCCTGGAAGCGGACATGCGCTGGTGGGCAACAGTGTTTTGCAGTTGTTGTACTTGAGCTTCCTTGTCGAAGTAGTACCTTTTGACACGATTGTATTTAAGCTCTGTACAATAGGGGTTAGTTCGCACAGTTTTCCAGGGCGAAAACACAGACACATACGTAGTTCCTCATATTTCTGGATCCAACCGTTTACATCAAGCTCAGGTGCGTCGTCCTTTGCCTTTCCAGGGGGTGGAGGAGTCTCTTGTTCACGATCGCCGGGAGTTGCTGACTGCGAAGAATTTCCCTTGAAACTTTGCCCTTGTGGCATGCTTGGAGGGAACTGTTGTTGCTGTCCTGAAGCCTGCTGCTGCTGCTGTGGCGGAGTCTGTTGTTGTTGCTGCTGCTGCTGTTGGGATGTATCAATGGGCTGTCTGAGACCCGTTGGTCGTTCCAGGGCCATTACGCTTTGTGAAAGTATGGGGCCAGCAACAGGTTGGAGGGACTGTCGATAGTGAGGTTTTTGATAGTTAGAATCCGGCGATTGGTAATACGGGTGAAGAGGGGATGGGGGACCAAGAGACTGTTGGGATGGTGGCCTTGGGGGGTGGTATGGATCTTGTTTTGGCGAATATCTTGGGGGGATTGATACCTGGTCTGAGGACTGGTTTGGTCTATGTGTGGCCGTTGATGTCACGGCGGGCTGCGCCTGAGGCTGGTCTATTTGGAATTGGGGGTTCTGCTGTAGCTGTTGCTGTTGGTGGGGAGAAGCTCCGACTACCTGGTACTGATTGTATTGCTGTGGCCGGCCCTTGTAGTATTCCTCGTGCTGGCCCAGAGGCTCAGTGCTGACACGCTGGATCTGGGGAGGCTCAAATGGCTGGATGTCGAGGTGAGACGACGACCGACTGGCACCTCTGGCGGGGTAGATGGATGGTGGCAGGCTGGGCTGAGACGAGTTGTTAGGGAGCTGTGGGAGCTTCTTCTCCGTGATATCAATCTCCTCTGGGTCCGGAACTGGATCGGAAGGCGGGAGCGGGCCGACTTGATACGGCTTCGGGTGAGGGATTGGGTTACTAATTTTCTTCCTAACAGAGACGTTTCGACCAGGCTTGGCGGGGTTCTGGGAGGAGCTCTTATCCTTATCCTTATCCTTTGAGTGTAGGCTAAAGAAGCTTCGGCGGGATTTGCGCGGCTGAGTTTCTGTAAGCGGGGAAGCTTCGGTGCTGTGAGGAGCGGAAGGCAGCGATGGTGCGGCAGAGAGGGCGTCGATGCTGTGATCAGGCTGATGGCTCGCTGAGGGGACGAGGTTCAAGGTCGGCCTGTCACCTGCTGCTGCTGCCGCTGCAGAAGGATAGGGCGCCGCTGCAGAGCCGGATGAAACCTGGAGCGGGAGAGAGAAGTTCTCAGAACGACTTCCCGCATGAGCAGGATGGGTATAGCTGGCGGCGCTGCTGTGCTGGCCAAGTTGATACGTGCCACTGGGCAGCTCGTGGGAACCGGTGGCTGGTTGGAAAGTATGCGGCGGGTGGGGATTCGCTGGGTGCTGTTGCTGGTGCTGCTGATACGGCTGTTGCTGGTGCTGCGGTTGTTGGTGTTGATGTTGTTGCTGATACTGATGCTGCTGGCTGCCTTCTCTGTTGTGATGAGGGTGGTGGTTCTGAGTGCTGACGCTGCTGTGGTCGCTGGGGTTGTGCGGAGCCGACTCCACGGAATTCAAGAGTGTCGGCTGCGATTTGTTTTTATGGAAGAATTGCATGAGTGTTGGCTTCCCTGGGGCGTTTCAGTTGCAGCAAGCAGGGCAGAACAGAAAGAGGGATAAAAGAGATAAAAGTGTCAACTAGTTATCTGAAATGCAGCCGTCTTTTCCTTTCGGTCTGGTAGTTATCCTCTCTCTCTCCGTCTGTCTGCTGCTTGTCCGGCCTAGTGAACAAGTGGTCCTGAGGCAGGGATGGCCGAAGTCAGAAAACGGGCGGTTGGTGGGGGAGGAGAGTTAACTGTGGTCCAGTCCACAAGATGCGAGTGTCTGTACGCTCGAAGGAAAAGCCGCTGTTGGTCGGTGTTTAGCCAGCCTGGCTGGTCAGTTTAACTAGCTAACCAACCAACTGGTTAGTTGACCTATGAGCTGACTGGGGGTGTCTAAATATAACTAACTCAGGGGCGCAGTCGAGGACGCGCACAAATGCAGGCGGCGATCAGGACAGCCAGCGCCGCATCAAAGGCCAGATAACTGTTAATTCGAGTATCCTCGGACCCTCCGAGCAGCTTCAGCTAGTTTAACGAGCGATCCAGCCAGTGACAGTCTGCCTGGCGCTGGCTGGTTGGGTTGGTGCAGCGATGGAGTCATCCCATCGTATTCAGCCTAGGCGGGATAACTCTTGCGCGTCAGCGTAGTAAGTGGTAGCCAGCAGACGGGTAAACACGAAGCCTGAGGAACCAAGCAGGCCGCAGGCGGCAGACTGCTGCCTGGATATGAGGGTGAAGATGGAGTTGCCCATCAGTCAAAACGGAGAGAAGTTTGAAGTTGAAATTGAGATTGAGGTTGAGGTTGAAGTTGAGGTTACGAAAAAGGCAAAAGTCACTTCACTATCAGATTTGGTGCGAAAATACCCAGAAAGACAGGCTTAGAATGGCAGACACTTTAAGGGAACTGGTAGAAGATAATACCCTTGGAATAAAGGCCTAGCCAAGGGGAAGATTATGATTTCTAAATCTATAAATGAAGAGTGCCAGAGATGGACATAATGTCTAAAGATTTGGCAGAAGAAAAGAACCATAAATGAAAAAGAAAAGAAAAGTGTATGGATAGCAGAAGGACTGGAGGCCTTGAAAACTCAGCTACGAGATGGCCAGGATGGCTGATCAGACACGGACGCAGGCGTAGTATCCAATTTCAAGCTTCTCGCAGGTAGGCCCAACAGCTGGATTCCACTGCTTGAGCTGGGCGACGGAGATATGGTGCTTGCTGGCAACGCCCTCACACGAGTCTCCCTTCTTAACCAATTCAAACGACTTGCCTGCAGAGAGTTAGCATTCTGGTTGAGTTGGACTCCGCTGAAGATAGAGGGGAATTTGACCTACAGCCTGGGTTCGTTCCCGGCTTGGTGGGAGACGGCCAGCCCTGGGCATCGCGGGCATGGACACCTACGACGGCAGAGGGAGTTGGTACCAAGTTGGTTTTTGGGTCAGCCTTCACGCAGACTCGAGTATTGGCGTTGAGGTTCGGACAGACAGTATCAAGGTTGCTGAGCGGACTGAATAAGCCATGAATACCTATCGAGATGCAAAACGGGCTCACTTACGGGTTCAGTCTGAGAAACTCGCTGAAAAGAAGGCCAGGGTACTGCTGAGCAACATTGAAGCATGTATCTTTGGCTTTGACAGTATGATACTGCTTGCATCCTGCAATAGCAGCACCAACAGAGCCGGGTGTAGGGGCAGGGGCATTAGCATCACGCTTGACGTAGCTGCCCGTCGGTCTCAGTTTCTTGGTCAGGGTTGTAGGATGAACAACCATCTTATTCTCCATTCCAGTAGGGAGGTTAGGGATATGTGGTGGCATGAAAGCCGGCTCGGATTGTTGTTCGGGCAGGCCAGTTCCCATTATTGGTGATCTCGTGCTCATCATGTCTCCATGAATACCCTCAACCACGCCCTTGTGTCCCCAATCTGGTGGAGGAGCCTCTTTTGGCCCATGAAAGCCCTCCAATCCCTTTGTAGGATACAGGGCATCGCGCTTCTGAGCATGGTTGTTGCCCCAGTCGTTGAACAAACCTGGTGGAAGTGGTTTTGTTTTCGGAGGAGGGTCATTGCGCTTTTGAGCGTGATTGTTGCCCCAGTCGTTAAACAAGCCAGGTGGAAGTGGTTTTGTTTTCGGGGGAGGGTCCATCTGCCCGCGAGTCTGCTTACTGACATGAGAAGGCAGGAAAGCACAGTAAGATGTCTGGCTCTTGATGTTTGAGCAGTCACTGTTGATCTGGGGGTTCTACACGGCGGTTATATAGTTAGTAGGGTGCACAATTCCTAGATATCAAGTCAATAAGATGTAAATCGTACCCAGAGGATGAACTGCCTCTTGGCAACGTTGATGGTGTCTAGGAAGGCATCACAGGTAAGCTTCCCTGAGGCATCGACGACGTTTATCCAGGAAGTGCAGCCCTTGTGGACTCTCGGGTCGACTGCGAAGTCAGCGGTTTTGGAATGGTGCCATTCAGGGCCGCCAGCCTGGACAAGGGAGGCGGCAACCAGAGGCAGAAGAGCGTATTTGACCATGGTGGTAACTAGTAGTATTGCAGACTTTGAACGACCGTACTGGAGATGATGAGGATGCTGATGAGGAGTATAGAAGGGTCATGTTGAAGAGGTCCCTTCACGGCCTTTATATAGATCTCCTACAGCGCACTCCGTCTTCTTCACTGTTGTGATAGAATGGATGGTCATTATCAGCCTGTTTCCACAGCCTATGCGCGACGTCCATCTTCACCAGAGCTGGTAAACACTGAGAATGATGATGGGTATCTCGAGACAAGCCAACTTTGAAGCTAGTCAAAGAAAACGGCGGCGTCGACTCCATGATGCTTGACTTGAGTGGCACAGAGAACAAAATGACCCGCTCTCTTGCTTCTATTCTCATTCCTATTCTTCATTTATTTGCGTTTGGGGGTATCTTCGCTCCTTTGGGGGGTGTACAGCGCAACTCGCATATTTCGGGGTATCTCATGTCGAAGCAGTAAAGAATTCACCCGAGCGACAAAGAATTACCCAAACGGCCAGTTAACTGGATAACAATTGCTAGTTCGTTAATACTGCCTAACTGGCTATTCAGATCGAAGAATCTCAGTCGTGTGGATGAAGAAACACAGCTTGTAGATTTGTGGAGGCTGCGATGGCAGAAGTTGGTTCCTATCACGACTCTGACCGTCGATACCAACATCAACATCATCCGCCAGGGTGACCCGGACGAGCAGAGGTGGTTAACCAAAGGTGGTGCCCACGGGAGTATCACCATCTGCCTGTCCGTGGAGTGCAGCCTGTCAAAGCATCACTCGACCCGCGACTCTTCCGCGCTGGCTTTATCGTTCGCTGCGCAAGCAGAATTTGTTGTAGCTAACTAAGTTAACTGGTTAAGAGACCGGCATGGCATCAAACAGTCTGGTTTATCTTTTCAGCCGGTCGAGTCGCACCGTACACCCTCATGCAGAGAGACATCACTACCGACGGAGTATTTCTCCTTGCTATCTGAGCAACCAGAGCAAACTCGACTGCACAAGATTTGTATAATTAAAATATTCGGGTGTGGGCATATCCGATGTCTGCATCAGCTTCGGCTAGCTAAGCAAGTTAGTTCATGCCCAAAAGGCCTGAATGGACACGACGGATGAAACGACGGTTGTGATATCGACATTCAACTCGTCAAGTTGTATCCATGTCTGTTTGTCTCGCTAGCTAGCTGGTTTGCTTGCTTCTTTGGTCGGGTCTGGGGTTAACTATCCATATGTTATTGCAGGGGCCGCGAAGATCATGGTTATCAACCTTCGATAATAAGTTAGTTATTGACCAGGGCCCCCAGCAGATCACATATGACAAAGTAACGCAATTATCCACTTTCTGACCCTTCTGCCTGTTCAATTGGCCCTTGCAGCAGGAAATGAGAGTCCTAGCACGAGATCGCGGGAGAAACTTCTGTTTGATGTAGAGTTTGATCATGGGCTCAGGCCTGTCCTCGGGGGCACAGGGGGTGGACACAATAATAAACAAAGTTAATGTGCCAGACTATCAGAAATGGAGAAGACAACAGGTGAGCTCTGTACGGAGTATGGATACATAGTTGAATATTCCAGCAGGCAGCCTTGTTGTTACAGTATGAAAACAGCTCTATCGGTCCCTATATTCAGCTCTTCTAAGTAAGTACTTAGGTAACTACTTTATGGGAACTGGCTCTCACTCAGTAAACCTCTTTCTCATTAGAAGGTATCAAACCATGGGCCCTCAAGCAGCTGTTTTGCCGTGCTGTGTTCCTCTGGCGGCCACTTGAGCATCGACCCCATAGATCGAATAAACGATTCTTTCTCTTGCCCAGATAGTCGCCTCTCTCTGCCCTCCAGAGAGACCGGTGGTATGGCTGCATGTTCATGGGCAATCCAGAGACCTACTTGCGTGTCAGAACTGAAGCTGCAACTAAAGCCTCCAAAAAGATCTGGGGAGAAGGAAGGTTGCTTACCACCTGGACCAAAACACTGCTCAGTTGCCTCACTACGCTTGACGAATTCGCTCGGTGGTGGCCCAATTAAGGCAACCATGAGTGCCAGATGCTTGAAGGGGTCCCAGATCTATGAGCGAGCGATTAGCAGGACAATACAGCATGACAGGTACGCAGGCGCAGTGCGTAACAACCCCGCCAGGTTCCAAATATCAAGAGCACTCCCGCACGGCATTTCGAATATGATCTCTAGTGCTTTATAAGTATTCGGCTGGACGAATGGGCTGGACTCATGTCTTTTTCCAATTCGCGCCTCGCCAGACCCACATAGAACTAGAAGGCCATAACCTTTGCCTTCAAATTCCCGGCTCTGGTACACGATACGTGACTCGTCAATCTTCTCCCGCGGACTGGGACTTTCGGCTTCTGATTTCATAAAGTCTCTCAATATGGTGGTATCTTCTAGACTGAGCATCACATTATCGGTCTTCAGATCTAGTTCTAGTTAGTAATGAGACTTTGTTCGTATATCAAACAATGGCTGAGTACCAGCATGGATTATCTCGGCTTCTGTGTGCAAAAACTCAAGGGCAAACAACAGCCGTCCAACTGTCATTCTCAGGAGAGGCAAATCAAATGAGAATGGCCATTTATTAAGGAAGAGCTTGTTAAATTCATAGCTAATGAAAGCACGAACTGAAGATCCCAGCGTTATTAACTGGTTGAAAAAGCCCCATAGCCAATTTTGCCCGTAACCTGGTATCTGGTCTTGTACATATCTCCAATATTGACAGGGTAGTAATACTCCGGCTTATAGTAAGGCAAGGTCTTCCTCCACAGGTATCTCTAGTGGTATAGAGTATTAAATGATCGGGATTTTGTTGAGGACGCCAGGTTTAGCCGCAGCAGGTTTCTCCAGGTACTTAATCGCAATGCCATGTTTGCATTAGTTACAAAATTAGTGAGCAGCGTAGTCCTGATACTTGAGGAGCTTTGAATAACCACAGAGCTGAGTAGATGACGCGGGTCACATGGCTCGTGGCAACGCTTTGCAAGCGGATAAGCTTATAGTTATGGATCGGTTCCTGCAATTTTCGCTTTCTTGGAGGGGGGATCCTGTCACGAAATAAGTCCTTCGTGAGCTGGGTGGAGTACCAGCCGGCAGTGACTTTAGCTATACTTCGTAACTGCAGCTTCGTCGGCTAGCTGGGAGACGGTCTGGATGTATCGGCGTGTAGATTCCGTGGATCCTTGCAGCTGCCCGCATCCATGCAAATTCGAGAAACGACCGATTACACGCAGTCGAAGCCGTTGTTGCACCCGTCTTGCCTTCCCCTTTTGAGCTATAGACAAACACACTCACGGGCTGGCTTGCATTAGCGAATAATAAATATAATACTTATGAAGACACATCCATCTCAGCTGTTCATCCCCGTGTATTCGCGGGTGGGCAGGGAGTTGGCTGCCTGAACTAGTTACATTGTTATATATATCATGTCCGTTTGATCCTGTGTTGTTGTTTCTTTTGCTGGTCACTGATTCTTCGAAATATATCGGTGTTGATCTCGTTGGCTTTGGTTCGCCGGAAGACGCATTTCCGTTGATAATAATACATGGTTCAAGCCGTTTGCCAGTTGCTAGTTAGTATATCAAGTATACAGTGTCCGCTGGAGTCGTCGCTGACCATGCAAGGACAAAGCATAACAGAGCTGCCCTGCAGAATCTGCTTATTTCTCATGACGAGTTGGCGCTGCGACTGTTAATACTTACGTTGTTATTATTATTCTCCATCTGAGAATAAGAGCCTGGCACTCTGAGATGGCTTTCACTTGCGGCATGCCCTCGATCTCGGTCCAGGTCCGACTGCTGCTAGTGATCGCAATATCGACCTGTTTCCTCATCACAGAGCTAGCTGTTGGGTTCAAAACCCATTCACTCGCCCTTATTGCAGATGCATTCCATTACACAGGCGACCTCCTATCGTTCGTCATCGCTTACCTCGCTCAGAAGGTACAACAGCTTTCTTCTCACATCTCCTCTCTTTCTTCATATGCTTCTTCTTCACCGTTGTCTTCTTATTCTGCAAGCTAACGCAACTTAGCATGCATCTGCGTTGGGGCGGGACATAATCCCTGAAGAGACGGGTATCGAACTCGAGGCCGCCGAAAACCGCACCGCAATTATCCGGATCGACCAGAAGGATGGACGCCATGTTTTGCCTCTGCTCGCTGCTTTTTTCAACAGCGTCTTCCTGCTAGCTCTAGGGCTTGCAATCTTCTTGCAGGGTCTGGAGAAGTTTGTGCATCTTGATGGTACGTCATCCTTGTCCATTCGTTCGGTCCTTAATAATATATATCTTTAGCGTGCTGTGGCTGACTTCTAGTTAAAGAAATCGCCAACCCACAGCTGGTCCTGATAATAGGTTGTGTCGGTATCTTAACCAACGTAGTCTGCGCCTGTATTCTCGGAGCGGACGGCCATCATCATCACGGCCACAGTCATGGTCACGGCCACAACCACGACCATGATCCCCATGCTCACTCTCATGAACATCATCACGATATAAGAAGTGACGAAGAGAAGCTCTCCCATGGAACAGCGCTCTCGATAAAAGCAGTTCTCCTTCACGTCGCCGCCGACGCTCTCAACAACCTGGCCGTGATAGTCTCGGCAGCCATTATCTGGAAGGTCCCGACCCAGAAGTCACCTGAAGACCGACCCCATCATGATTCGGAGCATAACCACTATGGCAGCCCTCATGCAAAGTACTATGCTGATCCAGCGTGTACCGTATTCATCGCTATTCTGATCATGGCCAGCACGGGCCCGGTGGTGTTGCAGTCCGGCCGGGCGCTGGTGGCCACTGCAACGGGGACAAGTGTCAAGGAGATCCTGTCAGATACTCAATCCAAGGAGGATAAAGAAGAAAAGCACCAGGAGTAAATGTCAGAAATAAATGCTGATTGTTGGATATACCCCTCCGTCCGGTGTATATATATATACCTTCCTTTCCCTTAACGAGTCATCCAGGGACATACTTGTCATCTTTTTTCCATCCTAAACAACTTATGTAGGCTGCGACTACATAACTAGCGCACTAAAGGACTGGAAATCTTCTCTTTTCCCCTTCGTATTTTTAATTTATTTCTCATCATATTAGGATGTATATATTTTGGGAGAATTCCTTCCATTCGATATCCCATTCTTGACCAGCTTTGCTTCCTGATTTCTCGCCAAGTTTCGCTTAGGCGCCAGCCTGCTGAGTCATCACAATACATTTGGCAGTAGTAATTCTCTATATTTAGACTTTCTACATCAGGTGATCTATTGGCTGCCCAGGTGCTCTTACTCAATCGCTGCAATATTATTGGCCTGATGTTGTCATTAACCTTCCATATTAAGTTTAGCTTCTTTAGTCATCAGGCACTAGCTCCCGTCGACGGGAGGATGTCAGGCACGTGATAAACTTTGCTTTTCAGCCTCTTTACGAACCTCGCCTCCATCCCTTATTTACAACAACCACAGCAACCAACAAGGCATATGCATATTATACCGAACGAAACCTCGATTAATATGTGCTTGAGATGCTGTTCTTTTTGCCTGGGCTTTTCTAGCATCCAGGGATCCAGGGAGGCAAAACCAAGTTACGGAGTGCGCTGCAGCCCGATCAGTCATATACGAGCCGCTGGTCTGGCTGACTTTTCAGCCTTGTCTTACATCCTCAAATAAGACTCTCCAGCCAATTAGAGCGCGGACAAATATATAGGCAACCATGAACCTCCTGGGCATCCAAATTCCCGTGGAGGCTCGAGTTAGATGAGATCCCCAGTTGATCTCTGTCTCTCGAGAATGAGAAAAGAGAGAAAAGAACCTGGTCTGAATGGACAGGTAACAGGCCAGTCCTTAACATGATGACCTCTGCTCAGCCACGCCGCTGCTGGGGCATATAAAGACAAAACTAACGAGTATAACTGGAGGCACCCCCCCGGGCAGGCCTGAAAGAAGATACAAGCTCACAATTACTCGCTCTATCGTCCCATCATCTATATCCAAATTACTACTACACACGCTTCAAGGTGTCTGGCCGAATGGCCCCCCCAACTTTAGCTGTTCATTCGCGTGAGCTGATTGGAACTGATGCCGCCTGGAAGGAGGATTACTCACGACCCTCGGATGCCGAGCGCCTTCTATTCACAAACTCGGCCTTAGCACTGAACCGAGATGGCGCAGATGTATCACTTTGTCTGTTACCATCACCTGGCAACTGTCATCTTGCCGTAGTAGAAGCGGTTCCCTCTGCAAGGATAATCACCGTCACAATCTTCCGGCTCTGTGAACAGTTTCCACAAGTCTGGACGTCAAAGACTAGCTTGGACGTTACTACGTCACCCTCTGCCAGTTTCTATGCCTCCGACAAGACGAAAGTCAGTGGTGCGATAACGGAAGATGGCACCCATGTCTTCATCCTTTGCAAACCTCCAACGGGTGGAGTTCTCGCCTGGACAGTGACATCAGAACATGGATGGGTCAGACGCAAGCCGCCATCTAATACAGACAGTTTGTATTCACTCAATGAGGGTGTGCAATCTGATGATGGGGAGCATATGTTCTACAAATCTCGCAAATATCATCGATTTTCTCAGAAGAGACAAGTGGAGCAAATTGAGGTATATGACATTCGAACACTACAAGTCTCCAGTCGGTTTGTGGTCCGCTTTGGCAACGCACGTTTCTCACGCGACTTACATTTTCTTCGGCCCCTTAGGGCTGATCGTGCTGTTCACTGCGCAATATCGACAGCAGGCTCCAGAGAGAATCGGACGAGCCCCCCTTTGGTTTTCTCTTCTGATAATAAAGTACACTTCAATTGTGATGGGATTGAGGGCGCCCTAAGACTTCGAGGTATCGTGACTGTGTCACCCGATGGTTGCCATATGGTGTTCGTGCATTTTGAGGATGGCCTCATTTCGCACTGGGACCTCACAGCTCCCACTCTGAAGCCACTTGGTACAGCCCAACTACCAGGTGTTGGGGTAGCCACTCTCCGCCAATGGGTTATCAATGGCCAATTGACAGACGTCCGAGATAGCATCCCAAAACAGGTCCACCACTGCAGATTTTCCCCGTCTTCAAAGGTCGTCACCGTTATTACTGCAACCGCTGGATACGTTGTAGTTAACGTTTTCCTGACGCTTAACCTACAACTAATATACCACTATCAAGCGGAGAATGTACATTGGCCAGGCTATGTAACACTCCAGATAGGATGCAGCAACGAGACGGGCCTTACCGTTTTTGGTGCTTCACCCACGACTGAACACCCGGATACCGGAGAAGTGTTAGGGGTGCTAGGGGCGGTGATTCCTCTTCCAGCTATTTATGACAAGATCAAACAGATTGAAGAATATTTTGATACCACCAGCAGCAGCATTTCAAAGGTCATAAAGGGACCTGTATCCTCGGAGAAGACCCCATTCGTCAAGTTCGCCTTCATGCCCGATCGTGGGTTCGTTCGCGAAACTGGGTTATCCCCGCAAATGTCGGCAGACGATAGACTAAGGCAGGATTTTCTCTACGAATTTTCGTTCCGCAGTAGTAATTCTACAACTAATATGCCATCCACTACTGAATTACGAGAAAAGTATGTGCCACTTTTGGCGTCGCTGACTCCTTTTTCTTGGGACTCGACAAAGACAGTCTCGCTATTTGGAGTTGTTATGAAGTACAAGTACTACATTATCGCTATTGGGAATTGGGCTCAACGCGAAATTACAAGATATCGTTCCACACCTGGTATAGTTCGTGTTTTGTATGTGTCAGAAACTATTCTCTCATCAGACACAGGATCAGAGAAGATTGCAGTATATAGAGAAGGGCCTCACTACATTCTCTCCGTGACTTCCAGCAAGGATACTTCCTTTGGCCGATCCTTTTCTGGTGCACCACTACCGCTGCCACGACACACAGTCATCACTCCGCACTTCCTTGAAGAGGATGCCTGGTATGATGCCTTTATAATTAAGGAAGCAGAACATGGAACTCTTCCCAGTGGCTGGATGACAACTCCCAACCCACTACTAATAGCTTCAACCTCATTTGGGGCATATTTACCACCTGTTGTTGTTAGCGCAGGGGGAGATGCGCTTGACTATGGCCATCGGAACCGTTCACACTATGTTGTGGCCAAGCATGCAATGTGGCATTCATACGGCCTCCGAGGCCTTAGAAACGGGGACAGCACTAACGAAATTTTCTTCGGTGGAGGGCGCTATATGGATGCACTTGGATCTTATTTCAGTATGATATATGACGACAGAAGTTACAATAGCATGAATCCACTGTTCCCAAGCACTTTTTCTGCGGCTTGCAATATGGACTGGCGTTCTCAGAACACTAAACATGTGGATGCTTTCTTCCGAAGGCTACATCAGTCATCACAAGACAAACTGTTGTTCAATGCACAGTCAGTAGCGTGCACCCTTCCCCTGGCCTGCCATGTCCGGCCCTTTGGAACCCTTTCATTCATGCGGCATGTGGTACTTTTGCCTTTCCGAGTTGTGGACATTGGCGCAGTGGATGTTACTGTCAGCACTACTCCAATTGGAAATACTAAATCGGGCTTGGAACATGAGCAGACCAGGATCTTCCTAGATGACCTTCAGTGGTTTCTGCGGCGGTTTTTTGGTGGATTCATCTCTTCTCTATCGCTCATCTCTTCGACTGGTGAGTATCTCGAAGCAAACTCCAGCGTGGTAACCCTACCTCTTCCCGGGTTTTCTTCTTTTAACCACCGGCTCTTTAAACCCCCTCCCGTATCGAATTCTGATACTGACCCATACTGGGAATTTATTCGAGCAACATATCCCGATCCTAACATTGCAGCCTGGGAATCGGCCATACTACGTTATGTTGAACAGAGTGGAAATGGTCCAACTAGTCCATTCACCAGGCTGGTGGAGGAGATCCTTTACTTAAAGGACCGGGAGATACAATTTTTATTCTTGAGAGTTATCTGGCTAGATAAGCTGCTGAGGTGGAAGATGCGAACCTTTGGACGCTCAGTGTATCTGACTCGCGTCGCTGGTCCAATGCTGATACTCTTTGCGATCCACCTCGTGGTTAGCATCCTATTAACAGGCCGCACTTCGCATATTGACATTACTTTCCACGATGGAGCCGACGGCCATTCTTATTTCAGTGTGACATCAATTACGACATCCATCAAGGCCTTAGCGAGCATTGAAGCTTTTTTTGCAGCTTACATCCTCCTGATAAAAGCCCGACAGGCGTATCGTGTTCCGCGGCTTTTCCGCCGCTCCATATTCAACTATATTGACCTGGCAGCTATTATCCTCGGCCTTACAACGTTCGGCCTTGTTGTCTCAAACCGGTCGCCGCCTAGGGCGTTTTTGGCATTCTCAACACTCCTCCTGTGGATTGCAGCTCTTCTAATGCTGAGGGTCTATGAAGCAACAGGCACGTTACTGCTGCTGCTGACGGAAATGTTGCACGGTGTCTTACCCTTTTTGATTTTACTTGCGTTAATTGTCTTGGGTTTCACGTTTGTTCCCTTCTTGCTGCTTCGGAATATCGATTCGACCGGGATAGACCAGACACCGTTCTCGGACTTTGGCCTTTCTATGGCAGAAATTATCAAGTTCATGGCTTCTGATTATGATGCCTTGAAAGTGTGGGAAAGGTCATCAGCGGCCGCTCGAACGTTGCGATCTCTGTATATCATTGTGGTC